TGGCGTGTAATAATTCTGATGTGTTGTGAAGTTAGCTTACTAAATAGTTGAGTATGTAGTGTTTTCTTTCTCTGTAGTGATTTTCATAAAAACATTGTACATGCTTTTCTGGTAATGTCTCTTTGTCTTTTTATTTTCAACATAAAATTTTTCTTGATGATTTGGGAGTTTCATATTTCATATTTCACCCTAATCATATTCACTCCCCCCAGTCTTTCCAGGTTTACCCCCTTTTTTGACAGCACTCTCTTCCCCTCCCCCCCCCCCCCCCCCAAAAAAAAAAAGAAGAAAAGAAAAAAAAAATACCAAGTCTGGATTATGTTGCCCATATATTCACTAGAGCATGGTCATCCTATGCAAGGAAACAGCCCCTTCCCACCCTCACTTTCTCTAGAACATCAGCTGGGAAATGCTCATTCAGGATCCCTATCTCTTTTTAACAGTCCTCTTCAGACTTTCTATCTAGACTCTTTTTGTAGGGGGTAGGTCACAGAAGCCTTCTATGTCTCTCATTCTCAACTGTGGGTCAGAAGTCATCGATACCACTGCAAAAGAAGTTTTCTTGCCCTATACGGTCAGCAGTAACATGTATCATGGACTTCCACATGGTTTCTGGCCATAGCACAGATCACAGGCCACTGTCATGGGCCTCAGCAGTAGCACAGGCCATGGATATGAACATGACCTCTGACTGCATTACCGACCGTGGATCTCAACATGGCCTCATGCAGTCGCATAGGCCATTCACATCGACACGGCTCCAGGCAGCAGCATGGCCCCTGGACATCAACGTGGTTTCAGACTGCATCATAGACCATCGACATCAATATGTCCTTTAGTGGTAACATGGCCCTTAGACACCCCCCAACCTCCGCAGCCTGCCCTCTCAGCACGACCACAGATATCAGCGTGGTCCCAGGTAGCAGCACAGACCACAGGCATCCACATGGACATCAGACATGAACATGTCCTGGGATGGTTCAAGGACCACAGACAACAGCATGTCCCTCAGGTGTAGCATGGACCATAGATACCCATGTGGCCTCCAGGGGCAGCACAGACTCTGGTGTCTTTCAGGGAGTACCAGTCCAGAAAGTGAACTGTTCTCCATCTCGGATACCCTGTGGTTGGGAGCCAGGGTGATCATGCACTGAGCAGCATGTTCCAGGGCAACTACACATCACCCTGCCTGCCTGCCTTCACAATGCCATGTTCCCTGTCCACGGCAGCCTTTTCTTACACCTGTCATGGCTGTTCCATCTCCAATTCTGCCTCTCTCCACCGAAAACACTACATTCCTCTGTATTGTTTGTTGAAGTGCCATTGCAACTGTAGTGTGTTACACAATATATGTATATGTGTGTATGTATGTGTATATTCTCCAAACAGCTTTACATGCAGATATTCATAGCAGCAGTCATTGGTTTGGTTCAAGGTTTCTAGTTGGTGAAACACTGTAAATACTGCACTGTCACAAAGACTTGTCTTGGATATCCGCTGTTGCTCAGAGGCAGGGTGGCTTTACTGCTAGGCAGGGCAGCTGGGGACAGGATCTGAGTAAGCTCCAGGACACTACATACCTCCTTGTGCTCAGTGCCAGCTGTCCTGCAGCGCGCCGGGCATGGCCTCATGCTCTGAGCCTACGGGCAGCACTGAGACTGACATTTTTCTTCTAACAGAGTGAGCAGTGGCTCCATGCTCAAGGCCTGCCTGAGGGCGGGCCATATTTAGCAATACCAGGTCCTTGTCAGATTCTCACCATCTTTCCTTCCATTTGTATGAGACTTCTAATCCAGGAGACCTGCCTTCCAGTTGTTCTGGAGATACTGCAGCTCTGCAGGCGCCTCCTTGTAGCAGGTAGTGGTCTATCTCGGGCTTGGGTTTGGGCTGCTGCGACTCCTCCATGGTAGCTGCAGGGCAGAAGGTGAGGGCTTGAGGATACTTCCCTCCCCCTTCCGGCTGTGGCCACTGTGGATCATTACTGCAGCCTGGTGTGGGATACTGGGAGCCACACCAGGGGTGCAGAAGAGGCAGTTACTCTCCTCTAGCCCACTGTAGGAGCCACACAGCCGTCTTAGCTCTGCTCCTCCATGTGTTTTCCTCTTAAGCCCTAGATGCCGTGGTGTGTGTGTGTGTGTAAATAAGAGGACAACTTGCTAATTAAAATTTCCTCTCAATAGGCTGTGACACAGAAACAAATTGTTGATCTTATAAGTTTGCAAAAACTTGTATATCTTCCACTAGGGAACAAGGAAGAAATCACAGTTAGCCACAACTCTGCTACCAAATAGAGCTTACTAGCAGGCAAGGCCATTTGGGAGAACCAAGCTTCTTAATTACATGTAGTCATTCAGAACAATTGTAATAAACCTTCACAGCAAGCGTCAAGACTAAAGCATTCTACACAAGTGTAGTTGTGCTTCCCTCATTATGTAAATCATGTTGGAAATACAAAGATCTCTGAGCTTTGTGAAACAGTCATCAAATACCAATATTAAACATTAGTATCAACGATATCTCTCCATGTTAAGGTGCCATGGGTAAGGTACCTTACCCATCAGGGTACATGGGGCCCTTCCCCAGCATGGAGGGTCTTTGCTGATAGGGCAGAGGAGATAAGTTGGTGAGGGGGGGAGGGAGGGAGTCAGGTGATGGTCAGGCAATCAGGCCGCTAACATGGCTCTGACTTCTAGCAATCAGGCTGCTTCTGTGGCTCTGACTTAATAGCAACCAGGTGCTTCTTTATTTATACAAGTTTACCATAACAAAGACAGATTAATGATTATCCAAGTGGTACAGAGTATGTGTTTGAATTTTCATTACATTTCCAGGGTTACAGGTTCAGTTACAATTAAAAAAAAATACAAACAGAACAGATTTTATTATCATTAACCCTAGAATTCCAAGTTAAAGAATCTAAAGGGTGTCTTCTCCAAAGCAAACACATTTAATATGTTTGCTGTTTGAAAGCATTCCAGACAAACAGAAAATACCTCAACTGGTCTTTTCGTGAGTAGCAAGTACTAATACCTAACTTCGTTTTACTGTGTTTCATCATTTACGCTATCAAGTAGGAATAGTTTATTCTAGTCAATCTTAGTACTGAGTTTTATTCTTTCAAGAGTGGACCATGTATGACCCCCCCCCCCCCATCTTTAAACTATCTTTTTAGGGCTCTCCACACCTATAATAAACAGAAGCCCTGAATCTATAACCTGTACCGGCCAGTCAGGGTTTGTCAATTGTCTCTGTTTGCCCTACACCAATGTACTGTTTGAGTTAGCCCCTCCCCCCAATCACTAGAAAAACTTTATTAAACACTTGGATTTACAACCTTTTCTATGGAATTTTTTAATTTATTTGTTTGTTACAATTTATTTACTTTGTATCCCAGCTGTAGCACACGTCCTCATTCCCTCCCAACCCTGCCTTGCCTCCCTCTCCTTCCATGCCCCTCCCCAAATCCACTGATAGGGGAGGTCCTACTCCCATTTCCTCTGACCCTAGCCTATCAGGTCTTATCAGGACTGGCTGCATTGTCTTCCTCTGTGGCCAGGTAAGGCTGCTCCCCACTCAGGGGGAGGTGATCCAAGAGCCAGCCACTGAGTTCATGTCAGAGACAGCTGAAATGAAGATACCCCAAGAAGATTCCTGAAGTAATGGCCTCCTCTACGTATGTGCGTATCTGTCCTTCATGGTCTCCAGGGCATAAGGAAGACTTCTAAATAGTGTCCAGATAAAGTTAATTTTAGGATTTTCCTTAACAAACTCAGACAAATTTTTCTCAGGAAAAGACATAAATTGAATCCTAATGGGAAAAGTCCCCAATAATGCAACACACAGATAGAAGGACAGTGATTGTAGCAATCTGCTCAGCTTTGCTGGTACTGAGTCAAGCAACTGTGCTGGCTTCATGATTCTCGACATTTCTAGTGGATATGGCTGTGTCATTTACAGAAAGGACTGTGATTATAGCAAGCAGCTCAGCCTTGCTGACTGCAGCTATGTTGGCTTCATGACTCTGGTTGCTTCCAGTGAATGTGGCTGTGCTGTTAAGGTGGCTGCTGCATAGCAGATTTGGGAAATGAAGCCTTTATCAGCTAGCGGGATGAAATGGACACACAAACACCAAGCCATATACTGGAGAGACACTGCAGTAGATGCCATTACCCACTAAGTAGTGAAGCACAAGGGGGAGTGTACTCAGTGGAAAGAGGTGGGATCTGGACCACTTCAGATGCAGTGGCATGCTTTAGAGAAGAACACTGTGTAGAGGTGTCTACTAGGCTTACAGGGAAAAGGGATCTGCTGGGTAGAATCAGCATCATGAGAGAGACTAGCCATGAAAATTTATTTACAGAGCTACAGGCTTTTGTTGGCATACAAGATGTGAGGAAAAAGGATGTTGAGAGATGGAACAAGGGAGGCAAAAAAACTCCTAACCATTCGCCATTTACTGAGAACATAACAAGAGTACCAGCCTCTATTCTAAACTTCACCCATTATTTTAGTCTTCTCAATATTGTTATGAGGAAGGTGTTATTAAAATTTGTTTAAAATAAAACAATATAAAACAAAAACATTGGGCCAGTAACATAGCCCATCAGGTAAAGGTGCTTGCTGTCAACCTGAGTTTGATCCTGGAACCCACATGGTAAAATGAGAGAACTGACTGACTCCAGCGACTTGTCCTTTGACCTTCAATTATGTTCTTTTCTGTCTATGAAATTATGACTATCAGCCCTGGCTTGAAGGTATATTCTACAAATAATCCTAGCTGAGTATGTATTCTGAAAAGACTTGATAAATTCCTAAATTACTATCATTATTGCATGTACAAATAATATTATAGCTTTTAAAATTGGTCATCTAATGTTTTGCATTAGTTTTGAGGAACATGGTATGGTACAGAAGTCTGTTATTGAATCATGACTGCTGTTTTGAAAATGCCAGCTTGTTATTTGTTAATTGGTGTCTTTGACTTTTTTCATTTTACATAGGTGGTGTATGATGGGCTTTTTGGTACAAATACAAATTCAAAGTTAAGAACATTGTCCTTGCAATTTGTACATCACATTTGTATAACGTAAGTTTTACTTTATTTTTTTCAACTAAGTAACTACTCATTTTTTAGTGTTATCAAGTTTTAGGTATTCTTTTATTTTCCCTAAGAAGCAATTATGTTTGTTTATCTTCGAGAGACTCCATTCTTTTAGATTTATTTTTATTGTTTTAAAATTGTATGTCTGTGTGGGCATGTGCATATGTGTGATATTTCTGCAGCGTCCAGACTCTTTGGAGCTGGAGCCATGAAGTTTGTGAATTGCCATGTAGGTGCTGAGAACAACACTTGCGTTCTCTGACAGAGAAGTACAACTGTTGAGTCATTTTTCTAATCTCTAGAAAGATTCAGTTTTTATCTATTGTTTAATTTCATATGTTACTGATTCTTAAAGTGATCATCTGAAAGGATATCTTGACCTTTTTTTTTTAAGCTGTCCAGAAATCAAGATTAAACCACTAGGTCCTATGCTTTTGAATGGTCTCACTAAGCTAATAAATGAATATAAAGAGGTAAGTGACTTGTCTTAAGTTTTAACATTTCATAAAATATTTAATATGGCCTACCTATTGATATAGTGTTTGGCATTGAACTTTGTTTCTTGAGTTGGTGACAATTTCATACACTATTGCCATTTTTTTTTTGCCTTTTTAAGAAGTGATTGTTAAAACTGATAGTATCTTTAAAGATGTCATGACTTCTTTAAGCTATGTGTGAAAGCAAATGCATTTTGTAATACTTGTATGTTCTATGTAAAATTGAAATTAAATTAATTTTATGTTTTATTTTTATATGGGATTGTTTGGGGTTAACTTGTACTGAGAAATAGTGTTAATTTCTTAAAGGGCTTAGATTTTTACTAATTTACAATTTTATCAAAATATACGTACATTCAGCAAATTTTTGGTTCTGTAAAGTAAGTGTTATGAAGACTTCTTGGATTATCACATTCAATTTCTGCTTTTCTTTGTTATATTTTTTCTTCCTGTCTCGTTATATTTCTTGAGAATATGCTAAACAGATAGGTGAAGTATTAGGTCTAGCTAGCATTGAAGTTCTCAGGGTTAGTTAAACACAGGCCCGTCTCTGCCGTACAGGGAGATCAATACCTGAAGTTAGAATTGACTTGCATCCTCTGTCTGTTCTTTGAGCTACTCAAGTTGTTTGTACTCTTGTTTGTCAGAAGGACACACTTCACTTCATTACATTATTCTGAAAACTAAACGAATTAAGGTTGTTTAACATAGGCAGGACACTTTAGTTAGATACTGCAGGTGAAACCCATTGATTTGTTGTACACTTTGGAATCTATCTTTCTTTTTTCTGTTGAATAATGCTTGCCTGGTTGTTAAGGTATAATCTTTTTGTTTATTCATTTTTGTTTTTCGAGAACAGTTTCCCTGTGTAATCCTGGCTGTGCTGGAGCTCCTTCTGTAGACCAGGCTGACCTTGATCTCACAGAGAATTGCCTGCCTCTGCCTCCTGAGTGCTGGGGTTAAAGCTTTTTTTTTTTTTTTTCTTTTAAGGGCAAATACATTTTAGCATTATTTTATAGCATAGATTATAAAATAATCAGATGCTTCACAGTGGTTGGTAGAAATAAAAATGTTTTGGGACTTAGGGAGAGAAGCTGTATATTTCAAAATAGGTTTTATGTGGGTCCAATCTGTGGCCTATGATAGGTATGAATGTAGGGCAACCCAAAAATCATAAATTTACTTAAAACATTTTGTGTGTGTGTGTGTGTGTGTGTGTGTGTGTGTGTGTGTGTGTGTGTGATCCATCCTTCCCTTCCTCCTTACCTCCTTCCTTACTGTCTCCCCTTCCTCCCTATTCTTGTAACTCAGTTGCACGGTTTAGGTGCCATCATATTGCAATGTTAGCAAGTTGGACATGCCTGCCCAGTCCAGAAAAACACAGAACCTAATCTTACTTCCCAACATATGTTCCCACCAGGTGTTTCAGTAGAGTGGATCTTCAGATGTTGGAAGCTGAACTCTAGGTTAAATGAACATAATTTATCGGACAGAACGTTTACTGTGTTCTGAGTAATGTTGACTCAGTTTTCATGAAACAGTAAAGCTCTATCTCTGTCATGGATGGAGCCCACTAATTTCCACAAAGACCCTGACCTGATTAATTTGTTACAGTATAAGAAATGAAAAGAAGCAGTTTATTTTATTACATGTGTCTAGAAAATTATAGGTATGCTAAAACAGTTTTATTGGGAATGGAAGATTGTAGCTTGTCAGAGCAGGCGTAAATTTCCCAATAAGTCCAAGTGTATTAAAAAGTAATTTGCTGTTGGCAGGATCATGGTATTGAAAATACTATGAAAGTAGTGCCAGATAAGAGAAAAATTTTCATTTATGACCACTTTATTTTGAGGGTAAGGATGCAAGGTTTTGTTTGTTATTCTCTTTTGTTCTGGGTTTGGATATTTTTATTGTTTTGATGACATTATTACAACAGTAAGACAGTGTGAGTGAAGTAAAACAATGCAGGTTATTGTGGCAAAATCTATCCATCTATTTATTTATTTATTTATTTATTTATTTATTTATTTATTTATTTATTTATTATTTTAAGGACCCTAAGCTACTGTCAATGGCATATTCAGCTGTTGGAAAACTCTCCAGGTGAGTAAATTTTTTTCTTTCTTTTTCTGTTTTGTTTTTTTTTTCTTCTGTGAGAGATATCTGTTGAAAATGAGAAAAATTTATCTGCTATTAATAGTGGATGGAGAATAATTTGCTCTGATTCTGCGAGAAAATGTATTTTATGATAACATTAATTTAGAAATGACTTCTTTTTAGAAAAGATATAAATCATTTAAGTTTATATTTGAAAATAAATTACTGTCTTAAATTAAGTCCTGAAGTTAGGTTTTAAACTTAATTGTCAGAACAGGTTACCATTATGGTTCCATAATGGATTACACAGTAGGAAGTGTTCTTTTTGCTTCTTATCACTAAGCCTTATCATCTCATTTGATATTCCTTAGGAACATGAATTATCTTATTTTCAGATACATCTGTTTCCTCTGCTCAATAAGATTTCCTCATTTCAGTTCCTTCTGGTGTCGTCATCTTTCACTTCAAAAAGAGATGAAATGTTTTCTGTGGTACCATGTGTTGCTTTGGCTTCAAACATATATTACTTTTCTCTGATGTGAAGGGTGAGAAGCTTCAGGGTTCAGGAGAAAGTGACCCTAGGTCAGCTTACAGCACAGGGCTGTCACAAACACTGTCCTCTTGTTTATTAGCATGAAGTAGCAAAACCTCTTACTATGATAGAGTTTCACTTGTATTGCAATTCAGTATCTCTTTCCTTTGTGTTAAAATCAGGAATGTTAACTGAGTGCATGGAATATTGTAGAAGGAATACCTGAAAATATGTTAATGAAGGATTATTTATATCTATAATTGCAAAATAATCACTTTAAAAAATATTTGCCTCCTGGAGAAAATAAGCTAACGATAACTGGCATTGTATTCAGGGTTATGAAAGTGTGAGTTGAGGAATGTTAGTATATAGTTCCTTTTTCTCCCCTTTTTATCCCATGGAAATTTAGGATAATGATATTCTTACTTTCTCTTACAGTCGAATGCCGCATTTGTTCACTAAGGATATAGCTCTTGTGCAACAGCTTTTTGAAGCTCTGTGTAAGGTAGGGAAACATACTGTTAATTTACACTGCATGGATGCTTTTCTGGAAGTCAGCAGGGAGGGAAAAACCATTTCTACTTCTTTATAGGAAGAGCCTGAGACTCGACTTGCTATTCAGGAAGCATTATCTATGATGGTTGGAGCTTATAGTACCTTAGAAGGAGCACAGAGAACTTTAATGGAGGCGCTTGTAGCTTCATATTTAATAAAGGTAGGCCCAACTAATGTGAATGACAATGGCTAGTATATACATTTTACTTTAAATTATTTGTTGATAAGTATAAATTGTACGTATTTAATGAATATCAGTTTTTAATAAGTGTGTACAACCAAATACTGTTTAAACCAGGATAAATTAAAAATTCTCTTTTCTGGATTTATTTTTTCAATATGCAATGCTTTGGCTTCTGTAGTCACTCTTTTATACACTGGGACACCAGAACTTATTTTCTTGTATCTAACTCATTTGTTACCTGTAGACCCACCTTTCCTGATCTTTCCCTTCCTCTTCTTTATCTGTATCTAGTAACTGTTAAAGTTCTATTTTCATTTTCTGTGAGATCACCTATTTTTTGTTTTTGTTTTTGAGGCAGGGTTTCTCTGTGTAGCCTTGGCTGTCCTGGACTGGCTTTGTAGACCAGGCTGGCCTCGAACTCACAGAGATCCGTCTGCCTTTGCCTCCCTGAGTGCTGGGATTATAGACATGTACCACTATGCAAGGCATATTGTATACTTTTTAGAAGGAAATTTGAATTGCTTTTTTTCTATAAAACTTTGATTATTAAGAGGTAGATTTACTGGTTTACATTTATGGCTTATGATCACTTTTAATTCTTCATGATGAAAGTGTGGTTTTGAAGTATGCACAGTGATACTCATAATGCAGTCTCTTAGAGGATCAGAAAGGCATCTGGTGTCTATTGAAATATGAAGAGCAAATTGTACCATTATATATCTTTAGAAGCTTGTTGTATATAGAGTCCTGTTGTCAAATGCTTCTGGGGTCTTGTTTCTGTAGTTCATGGTCTTATATCATAGGCAAAAGCTATCTGGAAGCTCATTAGACTCAAGAACACTCACAGAGCTCCCCGAGTGCTGGGATTACAGGCATGTACCACCACTCCCGGCCCATAGAAACAAACCTTAGCTTAAATCGAATAATTTAAACCAGTCTTTAGTATTATTATTTTTTTTTTCTTCTGTAGCACAGGGAATATAAATAGCATGAATTCCAGAAGAATAAGGCATATATTTCTTAATTTCTTGCATATTTCACTTAGGATGTGGCTAGAGGAATATGTTAGTAAAAGGTACATAAAAGTAAGCCTTTAGCATCAGTAAATTCCAAAACTGGCCATTTTTATAAATTATTAATCTGAATTAAGTAAATATATTTGCATAGTTGAATTTCTGCTCTGATGTCAAGAACAAATCTGAGAAAGAAAGAGAAAATTTTATTTTAAAATTATAATAAGTAAGGTCAGATTCTGTGCCTTGAAAAACTCTGAATTTTACTTGTATGACCAAGAGTTTGAAAGTTGGGGAGACAAAGATAGTGTTGAAAATGTCACGGTGACCATCCAAGTTTGGACTCAAGAGGTGTATGTGCAGAGAGACTACTTCTAGCCAGGTTCTTTGTGGGTCTTTGGTTTATTTGCAGGGTCCTTGTGTGTCATAAGTGCTCATTAGGTAATGTGAAAGACTTCTAAGCAGCATCAAGCTCATGAACAGGACTAGTGGCGTATAGGTCAATGTAGAGCTTGTATGTAACAGGTGTAGGCCCTGGGTTTAATAGCCAGCATTTCCTATCCCCCCCCCCCCCGCCCCAAGAGCACCCTTTATGAATGATTTATCTTGATTTTTATTGGTTAATGAACATATTTAGTGCTATGTGAAATTTGAATTATGTACAATTAAATTGACTTAAGATGGATTGAAATGTTTGATAATTGAACTCTGTTTGGGGGTTGGGTGGATATCTTGTTATTTTTGTGTTCAATAGCCTGAAGTTCAAGTTCGGCAAGTTGCAGTGAAATTTGCCAGCACAGTGTTTCCTTCAGATCATATACCTTCCAGATATTTGCTCCTACTAGCTGCAGGAGACCCGTAAGTTTAAAAAGGTGGCAACTTGAATTTGGGTTAATTTTTAAGTGTGTTTTAAAATTACTAAAATTTTTGTTCGTTGCAAAGTTGCTTATGAAATTTAGAAGTAACTTAGTAAGGAATTCAATGTATACCCTTTCAGATGACCTGTATTCATGTAGCTATATATTTATATTCATGTAGCTGTATATCTATAGTATATGACCTAGAGATGATATAGATAGAAAAAGTCTTATGAAATAGTCAAATGTAAATAAAGCAAACCTTATAATTGTATAAGTAATATAGTTATATTTAGATATATAATTATATTTAGCAGTCCTCTATAGGAAAAAGGAGTCATTGATTGCTTAATATACATATTTTAATTTCTTTTTGTTGATGGAATAATTTTTGTCTAATATGCTGAGATTTAAAAATGCATATATACATATATACATATATATGTGAATTATATTACTGTAATTCTAATGTGTGTTTTTAAATGAGGCTAATGTGCTACCCACTGCACTAATGAGGTATCTTTTTTCATCAAGTGAACTTAAGCCATATATATAGTAAAATATGTGCATATTAAAACAACTCTTATCAAGCCTGTTATCTGATTTATAACAGTAACATCTTAACGTGTGTGAAGTACTGTTAATATCTGTCATAATATGTGGTTATTGTATCTAATGTTTTTTTAAAATAACATCATATTTTAAAGTCACGTTTATGATGAAGCTCTAAATTTAAGCCTTCTTTTATCACTTGCATATCCTTTCCATAAAATCTTTAGTCTGTTTACACAAAATATGGGAGCTTCCTTGATAACTGCAAATTTTAGCTGGTACGGCTGTGTATGCCTTTACTATCCCCCTTCAGTGTGGATTGTATATATTTTGCTATGATTTTTTGTTTGTTTGTTTGTTTGTTTCTATAGGTCCTGAATTTTAATTTTTGATTTTGATTTTCCCCTTATTTACATTTCAGTTTGGCTCCACTGGTTTTGTATTGTTAAATCTTTTTTTTTTTTTCTTCCATTTTTCTACCTTTAAGTTTTCCAACTACATGCCAGATTGCTTAGGATCTGTGAGCTAAGGTAGCATTTAATGTTAGAACAAGATTTTAATGTAGGAATGTAGACTACCAACCCTAACCAGTATTTTTATTTATACAACAAAACAAAACAAAACCCAAAACAGTATTTTCCCCTTTTTTTAAAAAAAGATTTATTTATTTATACACATGAGCACTCTATTTGCATGTATGCCTTCATGACAGGAGACAGCATCAGATCCCTTTATAGATGGTTGTGAGCCACCATGTGGTTGCTGGGAATTGAACTCAGGACCTCTGGAAGAGCAGACAGTGCTCTTAACCACTGAGCCATCTCTTCAGCCCCGTATTTTCCCTTTTTAGCTTAATAAAAATTGTTTTGTTCAAGTGAGAACTCCTGGCAGTGTGAGGCTTAGCCTGCTCATTCCTTCAGGTCTGCTCTTCATAAGGTACTGTTAGAAATTCAGGACCAGTCCAGAGGCAGTTGAGTTCTCAAAAGACTTTTATGATATAGAAGCAAAACTATGAGGTCATTTTCTAGGTGTCCTGAAATAGGTTGTTATAGTTTGTGTATTAATGCGATTCATTTACCAGTTTTTTTAGAATTGTAGACAACCTACCAAGAGGTGTCAGAATTGAGGTGGGTATATAGAACACAGGACATACCACTGAGAGTTTCTATGTGTGTTATATTTGATTGTGATTTAGTTTTAAAAAGAGAAAACATGCTCATATTTACATAATGAGTTATAGTAATTAAAATTGTCTTTTTAAAGATGCAAGCCAAGTGACTCTGCAGATCTCATTAAATTACCAAAAGGCTGTGATTTCTTATATTACTTTTTATTTATTGCTTATATTGCTAAAAATATATTCAAGACATTTTGGCAGAACCCTAGCTGCCAAATAAAATGTATGTTTTCATCCCCCAAATGATGACTCTCCAGTTAGTAAGGTTTGTTTTTTTTAATTCTTATTTATATAAAAGACGAGAAGAAGTCCATGGTGAAGCACAGCGTGTGTTACGATGTCTTCCTGGTAGAAACAAAAAGGAAAGCGCTTCTAAGCAAATGCCATCTTTTCCAGAAATGGTACATTACATTCAAGAAAAGGTACGGATTTTAATTGTAGGTAATTTGTTTGAAACATTTGATAGATGTTGAAAATAAAAATCAACATTCTAAAAGTAAAAATGCAATAATTAAATAGTAAAGTTCCTACTACTCATAGCATTTACAGTAAGAGGGAACTACAAAATAAGGGAAACATAATTCTTATATACAGTTGATTTTTTTAAAATATGAATGATTTGTAATTCCTTTAATGTCAATATTTTGAGTATGTTGAAAAAATTTTGACATGAGATAGTTAAAAACACATCTTTAAAAACATTCAAATATATGTTTGTTGTTTTGCTAGTTTTATCCCTCCTTAAGCATACCAAGTGTCATAAATTTGACAATGCTTTGGAGAGCAGTTCAGGACTACTTAACTAGTATTATTCCATACTCTTTTGTAAATCTCTCCTTTGCGCAGTGTTTTTGTAGCTGAATCAGAGCTTTGGCAGCATCAATCCTCATTACTGACTGCCCCACTTTATTTTATTTATTTATTTATTGTAGGTGAAAATTAATATTTACTAATGATTATCTTTTAGTAATGCTGCTGTTAATCCTAAACAGCTGTATAACCAAATCACCACACAGAGACTGGGTTTATTTAGTTAACCTAGAACACAATGCTGGGCAATAGTTACTCCATCCTAAACCTCTAAGCCCTCATAGTTTCCTAACATTTAGATTTCCCGCATTATACTTGCTTTTTGTGAAATCTTTGGTGCAGTCCATCTCCAGGTAGTTCCTTTCTCCTCGCTCTTCTCCCGCCCTTTCTCCTCCCACTCGTTTCCTGCCCTCTGGCTCTTCTCTTTGCACAACATTGTGTCTAGTTGCTTTAGTTTGGCCTGTTTACACAAAGTTGAGACAGGATGCTTAGAATAAGTATCACAATGCAATCTCTGGATTGAAACCAGAGAGTTGGGGGGAGAAATCAGCATTTGATTGAACAAGGGTAAGGTGTATACATTTCAAAAGAACATTATACCAACATTTGTATATTCATTTATTTTGAGACAGGATTTTTCTGTAGCCTTGGCTGTCCTGGACTTGTTTTGTAGACCAGGCTCACAGAGATCAAACTCGCAGAGATCCACCTGCTTCTGCCTCCATGAATAGTGGTATTACAGCCGTGTGCCACCGCTTCCGCTGTCTGTCCCACTTTTTACATTGGTATTATTTTGATATGTTAGAGAACACCTATCATTCTGGGTAAGAGGAACATATGTAGCAGACAAATATTTAGAAAAGACAAATGCATGGGCTGGAGAGGTAGCAAAGTGGTTCAGAGCTTCTACTGCTCTTGTGGTAGATCTGAATTTGATTTCCAGGACCTGTGTACAGCTACACAGCTCCAGAGGATCCAATGCATTTGTCCTCTGTGGGTACCTGTATTCACAGATACATACCCATATCCAGTCACAAGTGTTCATCTAATTTAAAACGATATAAATAAATCTCTAAAGATAGAGAGAGAAGGCCTAATAGTCAAGAGCCTTTGCTGTTTTGCAGAGGACCTGGGTTTGGTTCCCAGTGTCAACATGATGCCTAACAATCATCCCTAACGCTGGTCCAGTGGATCCAGCACCCTCTTGCCTCTAAAGGCTGTGTGTTCATGTGGTACACCTAGATACATTCAGACAAAACATGCATGCACATTTATAAAAAACAAAACAAAACAAAACAGTTAATCTTTTGAAAAGGAAAACATAAAGTCAAATGAAAGGAGCTGGAGAGACGGTCCGGGTTTAAGAGCACTGGCTGCTCTTCCAGAGGATCCGAGTTTGATTCCCAGAATCCACATGGTGCTTCACATCCTTCTGTAACTACAATTCCAGGGGATATGATGCCCTCTCCGGCCTCTGTAGACACTGCACAAATGTGATGCATAAACACATATTCAGGCAAACATCCGTACACATTAAAAAAAAAAAAAAGACATGCAAATCAGTGATAGTAATACAGCTAGAAGTACAGTTACTTTCAGTTGAGTAAGAGAATAATTTTAAAAAATATAACTTGCTTTTGGCTTATTTTTATTAGGCTTCTCATCGAATGAAGACTCCAGTCAAATACATGACCGGAACCACTGTCCTTCCGTTTAACCCAGCAGCATTTGGAGAGGTAGGGACTTTAGCATTGTACTGTAATGGCTATGAAAGCTAACATCAGACCTAAGCCATGTCTGAGCTTTTTTGCTTTATAGGTAAACTCATACGATGGTATCATTGTTCTTTTAGGATGTTTATTTTGAAAAACAGAGCCCAGTATTTAGTAAATTATTTTAATTCATAGTTAACTCACTGAGGTTTCTAACCCACACCCAGTCCCTGTACAGGGAATCGGACTTGGGGCCTTAGATATGACAGGCAAGTATTCTTCTGCTGAGTCACAGTCCCAAATTCCCAGCCCCCAGGAAGGGGATGGGGTTTTTGTTTGTTTGTTTGTTTTGTTTTGTTTTGTTTTAATGACAGAACTAGTGATTACTGTTGGGCTTTTGTAGCAAGTTAGATTTGACTTTTAAAGCCAACATTCAATTGAAGTTGCTAGGATATTCTAGGTTAGAAGGCAAGATAGGATTGATCACATTTATTGAGGGGACTAATTTATTACATTCATTAATACGAGTTTTGTGTTTTGAATGATTGATTTGTACCAGTGAAATAATAATCTGCTTAGAGTAAGACGACGACGACTAGGGTGGAGCTCTGTGGCAGAATGTATGCTGGCACCTGAAAGGACAGAGCTTCAGTCCAGCATGAAGAAGAAAACCAAGCCAAGCTTTTTACTTTCATTAAAAAACACAGCTGGACTTGTGAAATCTTGTTACACCTTTTGTTAAATTATGATAATTTAGTTAGCACGTTGAGTCATGCTTTCTGGCTTCAATTAAGATTTTGTAAAGTTTTATTATGAAAGAGGGTGGGGAAGAAAACTCAGAATTGTCACCTTGAAAACTTCCCGCACTGACTTTTAAAAAGCTAGTATTTCTCATCCTTCTTGTTTTAGATAGTTCTGTACTTGCGCATGTGCCTGGCACATAGTGCAGGGGTAGTGCCCACCTCTCAGAGTTTGGCTGATATGCAAGATCATGCTCCGGCCATTGGACGGTACATACGAACATTAATGTCAAGCAGCCAGGCAACAGCTTCATCTTCTAATAAGAGTGGAGAAGCCAACCCTGTTCAGATCTACATTGGCCTGCTTCAACAGCTCTTAGCAGGTGTTGGAGGTAAGATGTTATTCAGACTCAGAAAACATATCAAAGCAATTAAGTAAGAAGTTAATTTTACTGTTCTCTTCAGTGTTTGCCCATCTTGGTCCAGTGGATAGATAGGTTCCAAACCCGTGCTTACACAGATGTCCCTGGTTAAACTCTGTGGGCCTCAAAATAGAATAAAAAGACATTAATTTGATAGAGGGACTTGTAGGGAGGAGGTGGTTATGTATGTGTATGTGCATTAATAAGGATGAGGAAGAAATAATAAGAGTGTGGGGTTACACTAATCAGAATATACATATATATATGAATTTATCAGAGCAAATTCAGTAAAAATTATAAAAAATTAAATTTTAGACCACGCTAAGAATTTACAGCAAAATTATTCCAACCTTCTTGACTTCTGTAACTAAACATTAGCCTTTGTTTAGTTTCTAAACCTACCTGACTTATCCTTGGTGTCTTTTTCATTTCTGAAAGAAATGTTAATGTAGATACATATTTTGTCTTTGGAAGTGCATATGCAGAGCATGACACTTTTGATAAATTAAACTTCATATTTAGAATTTAATTTTTTGAGTTTTAAACCAGAATTTGTCTTTGCTCAGTAGCATTATATGTGAGAGAAATTTAGGGATTTCTATATATTTCTTTTTTTCATGAAAGTTAAAATACGTCTGAATTCTTATTTAGGCTTGCCAGTCATGTACTGTCTATTGGAAGCTGTGTCAGTGTATCCAGAAAAATTGGCTACCAAATTTGTAGATAAAACAGAATGGATCAAGGTATGTCTTTAGGTCACATGTTTATTTCTCTCTGAATTCAGATATTGCAAACTAATTGAAGGGTTTCTTTCTTCTTACCAGTCTTAACTATGCCCTTCACTACCTTTAGGTAATTCTAAAAATTTCCCAATACCAAGTATTTGCTGGAAAACATATAGGCTTAACATCCCTCACGACCCCTTCTTGATGATGCTGGGGGATGAGTTTAAGAATCATGCATTTAAAAAGTTATTTTTCTGCTTCAAAAAGTATATATTTCTTGTAATTGTGTGCTGCCTCTTTTGTGTGTGTGTGTGTGTGTGTGTGTGTGTGTGTGTGTGCTGCCTCTTTAAATCTTCTCAGTGTTCTACTTCTCTTGCCTCTGACATACAAAGAACATTAATAGTTTTATGGGGTAAACCTTCTGTTTTGCTTATGCATATATACATAAAACAGTGCATTTAAAATGTTTTCTCTTATTTCATACAAAAGACAGCACACTGTTGGCATAGTTTTGTATTTCTTTTACTGGCTAGTAGAGCATACAGCAAATTTTGTAACTATGAAGAAAACTCCTATTTATTTTAATAGCTTCTTCATTTTCTAGTGTATGGTTAATGCTGGATCCTCGCTGCTGGTTATTTAGGATACTTATCTGCTGCAGTGAATAATACTCAGTAACACTATTTTCCATACAATGAAATATCATGTGTAATTTTTTTCATAGTAAAGATGAGTTATTGTATTTCATGGGAGAGATGTAATAGTGAGAAGTATATTTTTAGAATTCCCAGGTATGGAAGACACATGTGTCTCTAATTTTGATGGTGCCCACCCACCTTTCATGTGGCCAGAACTAGGTTATACTGCTGGCTCAGGCGAGAGTGTTCCTCGTTTATGGTAGCACCAAAACGTTATCAGGTACAGCAAAGAAAAATGTAAGTGAAATCTGAATTTTAGATTAGTCTATTTAGTAAAAATATGGCTACAGTTTTATATCTTTGTTGTGCTTGGTAATGTAGTTCTTTTTGGAAACTGTAACTTAAGATATATTAAAAAATCTATAGATTTTTATCTTTAAATGTGAAAATAGGAATGTAGTTTGTCAAGAAGTACTACTTTTGTATTTTTCTTTAAAATTTGGCCTCGTGAAAATGCTTTTCATTTAAAAAGGGTTTTCATTCTTTGTGAATACTTTTAATTTAAATTACTTTTATGAGTTTTGATTTTTTAGTAGCAGGTAAAAGGTTTCTATGATATGAAGAGAGGACAGACTATGAGTTTAATTCTAGGGCCTGTTATGGTGTGACCTATGAAGAAAAGTATGATTTGACTTCTGCTATTTATGATCTACAAGATAATGCTTTTCACTTTACTTAAAAAATTATGCTGAATTTAGAAAACACGATTTTGTACATGGTAGATAGGTGTTTTCCTCCTGATTCGCAACTGTAGGCTCTCTATATTTTTAATAGTTGAAAAATGGCAACAAAAGACATTATTTCGTGACATATAAACTGTAATTCTCATTTTATTGGAACACAGCTATGTCGATCCCTTTAAGTATTATCTGTGCTTGCTTTTGTGAACTACAGTGGCAGTACAGAGTAGTCAGCAGTGGCTAGGTTTCTCACCCAGCCTGTTTGGTTCTTCACAGAAAAAAAAATGCCGATCTGTTTGAAATCAACTCTATTTATTTCATCTGTTTTAAGGTTTTGTATCGTTTGATGAAAATGCAACTAAGATTTTATAATTTCATTTCATAAAATTTTTTTTCTTTTCATTTATTTTACATTTTTGATAAAATTAATCACTTTCCCCCATCTTTTTTCTCCTTTTAGATCCTCCTGTGTTCCTCTTCACCTCTCAAATTGATAGCCTTTTTTCTTTTATTATTATTGTATTATATATATGTATGTGCATGTATATATAGATATATGTGTGTATACACACAAATATACATACAATTGATGAGTCCATTTTTGTTGTTTGTGTGTATATGATTTCAGGGCTGGCCACTTGTATTGGATAACCAGCCAGGGAGCTCACCCCTGGGAGAGGCTAATTCTCCCTCAGCAATCATTGGTTGCCTGTAGTTCTTTTGTCTAGGGGTGGGACCTGGTAAGATTTTCCTCTGCTGTGTTAGCATGTCTGTTGATATTGTCATTGTTTGGGTCTTGTTTATATAATAATTTTGAAGAGAGGTAGTCTTGGTATTTTGGCTCTTACAACACACCTACCCGTCAACCCTGTTGGTAATGTTATGTGAGTCATAGAGGCAGGATCTGTGCTGCAAATATATCCATTCAGGCTGAGCTCCCACAATCCCTTGATATTTTGTTTGCATTGTGTTCAGTTATGAGTTTCTTTAATGGTCTCCGTTTGTTAAAGAGGAAAGCTGTTTTGTTTTTTTTTGTTTTTTTACTTACTTGTCTTGCTGAAGTTTCTTTCTTTCTTTCTTTTTCTTTAATATTAATCACAGGTTATTTACTTTGTATCCCAGCTGTAGTCCCCTCCCTCATTCCCTCCTAATCCTACCCACCCTCCCTCATCTCCTCCCTGCCCCTTTCCAAGTTCACTGCTAGGGGAGGTCCTCCTCCCCTTCCATCTGACCCTAGCTTATCAGGTATCTTCAGGACTGGCTGCAGTGTCCTCTTCTGTGGCCTAGCAAAGCTGCTCCTCCCTCGGGGGTGGGGGGTGTAAAGGAGCCAGTCATTGAGTTCATGTCAAAAATAGTTTCTGTTCCCCTTACTAGGGAAACCCACTTGGATACTGAGCTACCATGGGCTACATCCGAGCAGGGGTTCTAGGTTATATCTATACATGGTCCATGGTTGGAGTGTCATAGAGGTCCCCCATGCCCTGATATATTTTGTCTTTGTGGAGCTCCTGTCCTCTCCCGGTCATACAAACTCCCCCTTTTATTATATGATTCCCTACACTCTGCTGAAGGTTTAATTATGAGTCTCAGCATCTGCTTTGATACACTGCTAGGTGGAGTCTTTCAGAGGCCCTCTGTGGTAGGCTCCTGTCCTGTTACTTGTTTTCTCCTACTTCCAATGTCCATCCCATTTGTTTTTCTAAGTGAAGATTGATTATCTTACCCCGGGTCCTCTTTCTTGTTTATCTTCTTTAGGTGTACAGATTTTAGTATATTTATCCTATCTTATAAGCCTGTATAAGTGAGTATATACCATGTGTGTCTTTCTACTTCTAGGATACCTCACTCAGGATGATCTTTTCTAGATCCCACCATTTGCCCGCAAATTTCATGATTTCCTTGTTTTAAGTTGCTGAGTAGTATTCCATTGTGTAAAAGTACCACAATTTTTGTATCCATTCCTCCATTGATGGACATCTGGGTTGTTTCCAGGTTCTGGCTATTAAGAATAAAGCTGCAACAAACATGGTTAAGCAAATGTCCTTGTTGTGTACTTGAGCATCTTTTAGATATATGCCTAGGAGTGGCATAGCTGGATCTTGAGGAAGCACTATTCCTTATTGTCTGAGAAAGCACAGGATTGATTTCCAAAGTGATTGTACAAGTTTACATGCCCACCAACAATGGAGGAGGGTTCCCAATTCTCCACAACCTCTCCAGCATGTATTATCACTTGAGTTTTTAACCTTTGCCATTCTGACTGGTGTAAGGTGAAATCTCAGGGTCATTTTGATTGGTGTCTTCCTGATGGCTAAGGACGTTGAGCATCTCTTTAAGTGTTTCTCTGCCATTCTGTATTCCTCTGCAGAGAATTCTCTGTTTAGCTCCGCACCCCATTTTTTCATCGGATTGCTTGATTTATTGCTTTTTAATTTCTTTAGTTCTTTATATATTCTGGATATCAGCCCTCTGTCAGATATACGGTTGGTGAAGATTCTTTCCCAGTCTATAAGCTGTCGTTTTATTCTGATGACAGTGTCTTTTGCTTTACAGAAGCTTTTCATTTTCATGAGGTCCCATTTATCAATTGCTGCTCTAAGAGCCTGTGCTGTTGGTGTTCTGTTCAGGAGGTTGTCTCCTGTGCCAACGAGTTCCAAGGTCTCCACTTTTTCTTCTAACTGATTTAGTGTATCTGGTTTTATGTTGAGATCTTTGATCCACTTGAAGTTTAGTTTTGTGCAGGGTGATAAATATGGATTTATTTTCATTTTTCTGCATATAGACAGCCAGTTGGACCAGCACCATTTGTTGAAGATGCTGTCTTTTTTCCATTGAATGGTTTTGGCTTCTTTGTCGAAAATCAAGTATTCATAGGTGTTTGGGTTTATTTCTGGGTCTTCTATTCGGTTCTTTCTGCTTCTATGCCAATACCATGCCGTTTTTATTACTATTGCTCTGTAGTACAGCTTGAGATCCGGGATGGAGATACCTCCAGATGATCTGTTGTTGTACAGGATCATTTTGGAAATTCTGGGTTTTTGTTTCTCTATATGAAGTTGAGAATTTTTCTTTCAAGGTCTGTAAAGAATTGTATTGGTATTTTGATGGGAATTGCATTGAATCTGTAAATTGCTTTAGGCAGGATGGCCATTTTCACTATGCTAATCCTACCAATCCATGAGCATGGGCCATCTTTCCATCTTCTGATATCTTCTTCAACTTCTTTCTTCAGAGACTTGAATTTTTTTCAAACAGGTCTTTCACTTGCTTGGTTAAAGTTACCCCAAGGTACTTTACGTTTTTGGTGGCTATTGTGAAGGGTGTCATTTCCCTGTCATTTCTTTCTCAGCCCTTTTGTCTTGGGTATACAGGAGGGCTTCTGATTTTTTTGCATTAATTTTGTATCCAGCCACTTTGCTGAAGGTGTTTATCAGCTGAAGGAGTTCTCTGGTTGAATTTTTGGGGTCACTCATGTATACTATCATACCATCTGCGAATAGTGAAACTTTGACCTCTAGGGAGGCTTTTTTGATGAGACATGATATCTATACTTATCTCTGGGTATAGGAATAAAATTTAGAGTACAGTAAGGAAATATCCTGGTTTAGCTAATGGTGATAGTAGATTCTCTTCTAAAACCTATGGCCTTACTAGTTGTGTGTGGTTGGGTAGGTTTCTAGTACCATGTGTGGTTTTCCTCCTGTGGAATGGGTCTTGATAACTCTTGGTTAGCACTAATATGGGGAGTGCCACTATTGAACCTTTATGGCTTTCTTGCTGTGCTCATCATTGTTGTGGCTCATCAGGATCGCGGCTGAGTAGGACTGTTGATTGTGTCCCTCCCTTGGTAGCTTGCACTGTAAAAGATAGACTGCAGGAGGAAGAATTCAAGTTAAATTCAGTTCAGATATCTTAACAGTTCAGATATCTTCTTTGATAGTTTCATACACATACATAATACATTCTGATAGCTCTCTCCTCTACCCCCCCTTCTCTCTTATCTTTCTCCCTTCTCTGTTATCCCTTCCATCCCACCACCAGTCTCTTTCTCATATTTATTACTTTTGGTTTTTAAATTTTTTTAGTTTTTGCAACCCTTTAGTTGAACCAAGGCTGTATATTTGACCTTTGTGTTGTAACTCTTTATTGGAGCCTGGCAGAAGGTTTTTTATTTTTTGTTTTCTTTTTAAACAATAGCTTCTTAAATTATTTTTTTCATAGATACCAATAGATTGATGTTAAACTATATCACACACATATTTTACTTTTGTAATTTTCAATGTCAGATGTTGTCCGCAGGATGATGAGTATGAGTCATATCTCTATTTCTTTTCTATCTTGCTCAGAGTCTGATGAGCAGCAGTAAAGAAGAAATGCGAGAGTTGGCGGCTTTGTTTTATTCTGTGGTGGTGTCAACTGTGTCCGGAAACGAGTTAAAGGCAATGATAGAACAACTTATTAAGGCTACAAAAGACAGTCATGTATGTTATTAGTTTTTCTTCATTCTTTGTTATTTAAAGTAACTTCGTATTTTAACAGAACACAGAAACCTGTATTTGAACTCAGGCACTATTATTAATCCTGGAGGCAGGTTTTCTTTTTTCATACCAACAGACTTATTAAATTTGAGATCTGAGTACTGTTTTGCAAGAACTTGGGAACTGCTTTACTAGAAAGGATCAGTTTCTCCAAGCCTATAAGACAGTAAAAAAAATATAATATTTTGACATTTTGTTTTTACCCCGTTTTTTCTTCTCAGTTCTAGAAACAGTTTAATCTTACAGGCCCGTCTTCTTAGATTAGGACATTTACTTACAAGAATGGACTCACCTAATTTTGTTGGTTTTTTTTGAGCCTGGGTCTTAGAATATAGCCCAGGCTGCCTTCAGACTTGAGATCCTCCTGCCTTAGCATGTGCCACTCAGCTGTGGCTCCATTCTTTTTTAGTAGGTGATAAGGTTTTACAAAGTATCTGATGGTAGTTTCAGTTTTTAGGTTCCCATTTTTAAAGTAAACTTATTAAATCCTTAGCCTTTATAAATAATAATTGAGATAGAAGTGTTGATTCAGTCATGTCATTTAGTAGATTTTAATTCTGTGTTTGAAAAGTACTGTTTTAGGTACTATGCTCATGGTAACAGGTAATTAATTGGGAATCCCTGGTCTGTCTGGCGGTCAGTTATTAGCTCTCCCCACCCCCATTTCTACTGCCACTTAATCACAGTACCTACAACAAAAGCAAAGTTTATTGGTATAGTGTCTACTTGTATTTGGAGATTTTAGCCATTAGAAAAAGGACTACCCATTGTATTTTGTTGGAAGTGTGGAGAAATTGTCTTTGAACATTATGATAATTAGTGGTATAAACAAGAAGAAAGTATAATGGGTTAGAGTGGTTCTCAATGGTGAAGAGCACTGGCTGCTATTCCAGAGGGACCTGCATTCAATTCCCAGCACCCTTTTGGTGCCTCACAACTGTAACTCCAGTTCCAGGGAGTAGACATCCTCTTCTGCTTCCTGGAGGCATTGCAAGAACATGATGTGTAAGCACACATTCAGGCAAATACTCATACACATAAAATAAAAATTAAATAAAAACGTATTAAGGACCACAGAAGCATATTTTAAAAGTCACCTGCCCCAAAGTTGGAAGTTGTAGGTAATTAAGGCATCTAAATCTGGACATGATAAGGGCCCAGCTTAACTTCTCAGCATAATTCTATGTTAGAAACTATTATTAGAAATTGTTGTTGTTGCTAAGTTTGATTTCCTGGCTTCCCGTTGAAGCCAGGGTAATGATTTGATTTTCTAGCCTTAGGTTTAGCAGAGACATTATCTAACAACAGTTATTTCAGTGTTATCTTTCCATGTGTGAGAGAGAAACAGTGCTGTCACATTATTAACTTCAGAGCCCTGAGGTACAGCATGGAGCCTTGCTTGCCCTGGGATTCACTGTGGGGAGATACTTGGCTAAGAAGAGAGTGAGAACGGCAGAGCTGCACAGCCTGGAGACAGATGGTGATCTCTTGCCTGAGCAAGAGGAGATCATTCGGAGTGCTACAGAAACTATAGGTCAGTGTCTGTGCTGGCTTGCTTGGCTGCTGCAGGTTTTGAATCATGTTAAATTTTAATATTTTTGTTTAGTAAAAATGAAAATAGTTTTGTGTTTTGTTTTTCTACATGCTTTTATATTCTAGTACCATTTATGTTATAGGTGAAAAAAAACTAACATTCAAGGACAGTAAACCCTATTGCCATGTGTCTGACTATGACATAAATCTCAAGTGATCAACCAGAAGACATTACAGATCTCGATTTTCTGTTGCTGCCTTAAAAAAAATTTTTTTTAATACATTTGTTTAAATTGTAAGAACAAATAGTGTGCTAGTTTCTCTTGTGTCTAAATGTGCTTACAGGTTCATTCTTAGACAGTACATCACCCCTGTTGGCAATTGCTGCCTGTACTGCTCTGGGTGAAATTGGCAGAAATGGTCCTCTCCCGATCTCCAGTGAAGGATCTGGATTTACTAAACTGCACCTGGTAGAAAGCTTACTCGCTAGAATCCCTTCCAGTAAAGAAACAAATAAGGTAAGACTTTTCGTTTCTTTCTCTTCTAGGATTCTGTATTTCTATTCATGGTTGTATAAACAAAACCAAGTTATTATGAGTATAGTCATCTGTCAGCATCTATCCATGCACTCTGCAGCTGGAGTAAGGTTTTAACCAATGATAAAGATGAAGTTTTGATAAAGGTATTTGCTTTCGAATGAGAGATGTATAAAAAGATAAGATCTCTATTATCTTTTGAACTCTTTATTCTAATTTGGCTTCATAACAGGCATTCAGTAAAATTAAAAATTAATTGAAGAGCTATTTTTGTCATGCAAAAGCTGGATAATAAAATACTCAGTTTCATCATTTGCTTACTTTTATGGCAGTTCTAAATCTTACTTTCTAAGAGCCAATTTGGTTTGAAGCAATGTGAATAATCTGTGGGAAAGAACAGTTGTAGGTTATTTTAAATTGAGGTAATTGTTTTCATAGAATCTTAAGACTTTTTTGTAATTAAAGTCCCTGATATTGAAGAATAAAATGATTTAATGAGTAGAAAAATATCAGTTTACAGTATTTTTAAAATTAATTAATTAATTACAATTTATTCACTTTGTGTCCTTGCTGCAGCCCTCTCCCTTATCTCCTCCCAGTGCCACCTTCCCTTTCTCTTCTCCCTCTATGCCCTTTCTCTAGTCCCCTGATAGGGGAAGACCTCCTCCCCCTGTATCTGAACCTAACCTATCAGGTCTCATCAGGGCTGCCTGCATCATCTCTTTGTTTTCTTGTTTTTGTTTTTTAAATACTGTAATTTTGTCCTTGGCTTAGTTGCTATTTAAAAATGCAAACAGTTACACACTGTGTAGTTTTCTTTTTAACTAGTCATTAAGTAACCAGTCATTTTCAGCCATTGATGAGCATTACAATGTGCCCGTGAGTATGCTGTAGATTTCTCATGCATTAAAATTAAGTCTTTAAGACGATGTAGTGAAATAGCCATAGTTGCCATTTCTGTTTCACAGAACACAGAGTTTCATAGATAAAACTTGCTTCTAAGTAGTAGAGATTTGTTCCTGGATCCCCTGGGCTTGTAAACCATATTTGTAACCTTGACAGTTTAAATGATAAGTTAGAGTTGTTTGTTTTTCTTTTTAGGTTTGTTGTATAGATCCTTAATGGGTTCAGTTTTCTGTTTTTAGTGTTATAGATATAATACTGTAGCTGGGTGCTTTTGTAACAAACAGAAGCATCAATATATGAGGCAGATTTCCTTTTCTCTTTCATTTCATCTTGGGAATACTGTTTTGTGATAAAGCTGTTTTTAATTTGTTTAAAATTAAAATAATCCCTGTTCTTCCAGATGAAAGAACGAGCAGTCCAAACGTTGGGCTACTTTCCAGTTGGGGATGGGGCTTTTCCCCACCAGAAGCTCCTTTTGCAAGGTCTAATGGATTCTGTGGAGGTATTTATATTTTAGTTATTCAAATAAAAGGCATTTTCTAGTTGTTTTGCTTATTTTGAGATTTTTAAATTTTGTTTTAGTGGGGGTTATTTATTTATTTTGTCTGTGTGTCTTTTATCGCCTACATGCAGTGCCTACTGAGGCCAAAACCTGGCATTGGATCCCCGGAAACTGTAGTTACAGATGCTCATTGGTTAACGTGTAGATCCTAGGAACTGAAACTGGGTTCTCTGGAAGAGTGTCAGTACTCTTTAAGCATTAAACCATCTCTCCAACCCATGCTCTGAGATTAAAAACTTTTTAAACATTTGTTCTTTATCACATATCTAATTTTGAGAGTTAGCTTAGGCTTGTTACTGTGTTAGACATAGCTCCATAAATTGTGTGTCTGGGGAAGAGTCGTTATTGAGTAAAACATGATGTGGTATAAATAGAAGAAACCAGTAGCTCTCTGTGCAGAGTGGGGCTGGTATTCTAATTGCTCTTGAGTTGCTGGTGCCCAGTGTGGTGGGAGAACTGTGATTAGTGAATACTAGCGTATTATAATGTGTCTTAGCATGACCGAATCTCGCCTGTGCCTACCTTAGACGTGATCCTTCACATTTTCTCACAGTTTGTATGCCAGCCTCTTTATTCAAGCTTCTGAAAATCGTGTACTTCCTTCTTAGATTGTTGCTATGCTTCCTGAAAAACTTCTACTGACATTTAAACTATATTAGATTCTTTAATTACTTGGAAACCTTTTTGTTATAACATTTATCACACCTAACTATACTCAGAAGACAGGGACGGCTTTGTTCACCATGATACAGTTGTCTGCCAGTGTGATTGCAAAAGTGGAATCTCATAAATATTGGTAGAAGTAAGTGAAGAGGAAGATATTTGTAAAGAATGAAAGGAAACTCCTAAAGAAGGGCTGATTATATGAGAATTTTGGTATAATCTGCTTGAGGGGAAGTTACTGCTGAGACTTGAAGGGTGGCAGAAAGAAAATAGACTTTAGTTGAGGATAAAAGATGTGAAGTATTGAGATAACTGAGTAAGAGAACTGGTATTTAAATTCAAGCCTAAATTCTTTTATCCTTTTGTTACCCCTCTGTTGGAGAGTGAATCCAGGGACTTGCCCATACTAAGGATACGCTCTACCACTGAGCTGCATCCCCATTCCCATGTAATATTGTCAGAGTGAGTTATGCTCACACCAGCATGACCAGATGCCCATTGTCCTAGTTACATTCCAATTGCTGTGACAAAACACCTCAAACAGTGCAACTTGTAGAAGACCATTATGGCAGCAGGCAGACAGGCATGGCACTGGAGCAGTAGCTGAGAGCTCATACATTCCCAGATCCACAAGTACCAGTTAGACAAAGCTAACTTGGAATGGTCTAGCTCCAAAGCCCACCCCTAGTGACAGACTTCCTTCAGCAAGGCCTGGGGACCAAACATTCAAATATATGAACCTATGGGACTAATTCTGAATCAAACCATCACATCAGTTTAATTGTAACTTCTTGAAATGAAGCTTATGTCGCCTTTTCACCTTTTTCTTTGTAATGTCAATTCTGCTTGTGTTTAAGTCAACAAGAGTTTATTGGATCTTTGTCTGTGTTCTTAATTAATGTGCATTGGTGTTTTTCCTGCCTTTATGTCTGTGTGAGGGTGTCAATCCCTCACACAGCTGGAGTTAAGTTGTGAGCTGCCATTGGGTGCTAGGAATTGAACCTAGGTCCACCGGAAGATCAGCCAGTGCTTTTAATTGCCGAGCCATCTCTCCAGCCCTGCTTGTTGGATTCTTAACATGATTTTGATGTCATTGTTTCATTAAAAGTTTAGAAATACAGAAATAGTGAAAAACTAAAAACATGGAAGCAATGTGGGAAGATTGAAGGATAAGGATGAATGAAAAACTGTGAATCTGAGAAGCAGAATCTGTTGATAGTCAACTAAAAGCAAAGCCCAGCTGTACTTTGTTGCTTTAACGCCTTTGTTTTTGGGTGCTAGGATCAAACTGTGACTTTACACGTGCTAGGCTAGTAAGTACCCTGAGAGTGCACACCTGGCCAGCCCACTTCAAGCTTCAGTGTGGAAAACTTCAGACCTGTACAAAAGTAGACAACAGTAGAGTGGCTCACTGTGAACTTGTTTTATTTAATTATTAAGTCTCTTTTTTTCCTCTATAAACTTAGCTACTTCATCATTCCTAAATGTAGCTGTAAGATTTTTGCTTTTATTATTATTTTTTGTGTGTGCCAGTTATGGCATCAACAATAGGAAATGTCTAAATTCCTGATAAGGGTCCTCTGTTGAAATACCTTTTCTCGGCTTTATTCTTTATTTTACATACACCTATCTGTCTGTCTGTCTATCTATCTATCTATCTATCTATCTATCTATCTATCTATCTATCTATCTATCTATCTATCGGGGTAGGGTTTCACTGTGTAGTCATGGATTACATAGACTCACTCTGTAGACCAGGGTGGCCTTGAACTCAGAGATCTGCCTGCCTTTGCCTCCTAGAGTACTGGGATTACAGGTGTGTGGTACTGTACTCTTTCTCAGCTTTGAAGGTCCCCAGAGAAGCTTTTGACCAGAAATACTATAGAACTAAAACACTGAGCCCTGTTTTTCTAGATTAGGAAGCCTATGGTGTGAGCACTTCATACTCCGTGAAGACTGAAACACTAAAAGAATAACAGTGGCTAAACTTCTGTCTGCTTTGTAGTCGTTGTGCTCATGTCCCTCATATACCTCTTTTTTTCTCTTATACTTAAATGTTTCACAGTAACAGAGAAATACCAGACGGCCCTAAGGAGATCCACTTACGTTTTGGGACCATAGTTTCTGCTTACAAAGCAGTGTCAGAATTTCTGAATTAATGTAAATATTTGAGTATATAACCACACAGAATTTTTAATGCTCGTCTTTTGAAACAATTTCAAACTTAAAATGAATTTTTAAGAATAATGCAGAGAATTCCTGAATACCCTTTGATCTAAACTTACCAAGTTTTAGCATTTTTTATTTGCTTTATCATTCTCTACTTTTTTTCAGGTCCTTTTGAGAGTAACTTGCAGATATCATGGAAGAGTGTGAAAAGTTTTTATGAAAATGTAGTGACCATTATTCAGCTGTAGAATTGTGCAATTACTACACTAGACATGCTAAGTAGTCGACACACTGTCTAAGTTAACATCATTTAATCCTTATTGCCTGACGAAGGGAATGATGATACTGTGCTTACTTAACCAGCGAAGTTGTTGAGGCTCAGAGAAGTTTAGATAAGAACTTGTGAGAGACTGAGCTGGAATTTGCATTGGTGTCTTTGTGACTTCACCTTTGAATTACCTCAGCCTCATATGTAAAGGTATTGTATTTCCAAAGATTAAAAACCACCGCATAGCAATTCTGTCCTGAGAGTGAGAAGCAGTCTCATGGAGGTGAGAGCTGATTTACAGATTTTTTTTAGTTCTCCAGTCCCTCACTGTATTCACGTTTGAATCACTAAATGAGGCAAAAGAGTGCAAATAGAGCCTGCTGAGAGAAGTGAGATCAGCAGCAGCTCTTTAGAGAAATGGATGTGGGGGAAGCGCCCTGTCACTTATGGATTTCGCTCTTCTTCGTTGCAGGCCAAGCAGGTTGAACTTCAGTTCACTATTGGTGAAGCCATTACCAGTGCTGCAATAGGAACTAACTCTGTGGCTGCGCGAGATGCCTGGCTGGTGACTGAGGAGGAATATACACCTCCTGCTGGTAGCACATATTTACCTAATTGATTCACAGTTGCTAGTGGCTTTCTTCTATTCTTTATCATATTTGAGGCAAAAATAAATTTTTTACCAAATATTGATACATGCCTTACTAATTTGGTTAGTCAAGGAGGATTAAAGAATATTGAACATTTTCAGGTGCTGCCAAGCCTGATAGCCTGAGTTCTGACTCACATGGTATGGAAACATCTCTGGCAAGGCTGACCTCTGTGTGTGAGCACATGTGTGCTGTGGCATGTGCTCTCATGCATGTGCACATGCATACACAAAATGTGAATAAGCCCAATAGTAAAAATTAAATAAGAACAACAAAGCAAAACAGACTGAAATATCCTCCTGGCTTGATTCAGATTTACAATTGAAATATACTTCAGGATTGAACCAGGAATTTTTTTTTTTAATATTTAAAAGAAAAATCATAAAGTATTTATATCTTCTTAGTTGGAAAAATTAAATAAGGATGTTTTCACGGTAATAATACCGTTGTGAATTGTATTCCATAATGAATATTGTTATTGTACTTAGTTTTATAGTTACTATTTAACTCTGTAGGATCATCTTTTTATTATTTTGTTATCTGTCATAGAGACACTTAAAAGGAATAGGAAAACAGTTGTATAAGTAGGATGACTGTGCTTGGAGGAAGCCAAATTAGTTATCCCAGGCTGCTGTTTGAATGCATGTGAGGTAAAGCAAGTTGACATTTGTGTAATGGAAGGGAAGGAGAATAATCTTCAAGCCCCAGTACTGCTGAGATTGTGAAACTCTGAAATAATAGAGAAAAGAGACAAATGGGTTATAGCTGGAGGAGGAAAATGAAATCCAAAGATACTGCTTAGTTTGTTTTTAGATGGAAGTTTAGAAATATTTAGCAAAGAAAAATTGCTGAGATTGAAGAGAGTGGGAGAAATCATTCCTATGAACCAGAGTTATTTGAATAATTTAAAAAGATTATTTAATTTATGTTACCTTCTGCACATTCTTGGTCATTTGGATTTTAACATTGAGTTATTGTATGATTGTTGATTTAAATATGATTTTGTTAAAATTGTAGTTGGGTATTTTAATAATAATCTGTTTACTTATTTCTCAGGTGCCAAAGTGAATGATGTTGTCCCATGGGTTTTAGATGTTATTTTAAATAAGCATATTATCAGCCCCAACCCACATGTGAGGCAAGCAGCCTGCATCTGGCTCCTTTCTCTTGTGAGGAAGCTAAGTACCCACATAGAAGTGAAGGTGAGCATCATAATATACGTTGTATATGTGATGAACTCTGTAAAGATCCCAAAGTACTTATGAGGTAAAAGTAGGAAGAAAGGGTACTGAAGGCTAGAATCATTAAAAACTAGCAGAAGTTTTGAAATAATTACCATGTGAAGCAGTGAAGGATGGTGAGGTGATCTCCATGTGAAGATAGAAAGTCTGAAGGGCTAAGAATGGGGCGACTCATGTTTGGACAAAGGTTAGATTGAGTGCTTAGACTACCTGGGAGGGGTACAACTTCAAGTAATATGGACATCTGTAAAGACTAGTGCATGGAAAGCTTCATGACTGTCTTGGTCCTAAGACTCTCTGGCTGCAATGTGTCTTAACAGTGAGGTTCTCATTTTCCTACGAGGTAGGATTTCAGTGCTTTAATGCCTTTTTTCTTTCAGTCTCATCTTAAAGAAATTCAGAGTGCATTTGTTTCAGTTCTGTCAGAAAATGATGGTAAGTTGTTGGTAAATATTTGAATTGCCAGCTCATTTAACTTGTATTTTAAACTTTTGAAAAGAGTTAATGAATTATAGCAGAAAAACTTTTAAGCCATGTGACTTTAATCCCAGCATGTGGGAAGTAAGAGGCAGGAAAATCATGAGTTCCAGGCCAGCCAGAGTTATGTAATAAGACTCTGTCTTTACCCCAGAAATGCAATAAAATTAAAAATTAATTTTTTTAGTATTAAAGGTACTTGTATTAAGCTGAAAGCCAAGATTGACTACCACAGTACTATCTCCCCCCCCCCTAAAGTTTTAAAGTATAAGAAATTGAAATTTTTTTCTTACATATAAATTAGAACATTTTCTACAACTTTACATGTTTAAAATGAGTCAGGGACCTTAATATGAATCAGAGGCCTTAACATTAGTGTTAATTTTTTTCTACTTCCTATTATTTCTCCTCAGTATGTTAGAAATTTAAATAATAGCTTTAAAAAAGTCTTATTTAAAACATGTAAACTTGTCTTTATTTTTCTAAAATTTGATATGGGTCTCTAAAAATCCTAGGAGAGTATTTAATCTCTAATATAAACAGTATATGTTGATATTCTGATACTGTGGTTTTTATACTGACACTGTAGTTTATTGGCATTTTTTTTAGTTTTTTATCATAATTCTCATCCTCATTAATGATTTAGGAAAATGGAATGTTTCTGTTTTATATCTTTACTTTTATATAACTTTAGAGTAAAGGTAATTACTTGAAAGAAAAGAATTGGCCAGGAGAATAACATAATTTCTTTTAGAATAATATAATTTTGTTTATCTTTTTTGTAGAACTTAGCCAAGATGTTGCGTCAAAGGGGTTGGGGTTGGTTTATGAGCTGGGCAGTGAACAAGATCAACAGGAATTGGTGTCTACACTTGTAGAAACACTTATGACTGGCAAAAGGTATAGTGAATTTTAAAGTTCAGCTATGAAAACATAGGAAATTGAGAATATCATATGGAAATGGAACAGTTCCACCTTCTATTTTCTTACTGAGCCATTGTATATCAGTGATTGTTACAGTTTAATTATCACAGTGTATACTGCTTACTTTAGAAAATTTCAAACTTGAATGGTCCCAGGACAATGAAAGCATCAGATTAGAAAACATTGTAATACCTTTGGCAGAAAACGCTGAGGTGTGATGTGAAGAAGCGTGAACATCAGTCATAGTCTGATCTCTGATGAGCACATGGAGGGAGATTGGTTTGTAATTGCTTGTTGCTTTCTGTTGCCTCCTTGAGAGAAGGGGAGTTTCTAATGTATGACGCACTGGCTGTAACTTTATATACAGATCTCTAATATCTGTAAATTTGTTTTGTTTATATTTGATTTTAGAAAATTTGCAGTCTGGTAGAAAAGAATAGTTTATATCTTTCAACCCTAGACACAGATTTTTATCAGTTTGCAGAAGGATTGTATCCATTTGCTTATTGTTGGAATGGAAAATGTGAAGCTAATTTAAATTCTTGTTGATTCGTTTTAGAGTTAAACATGAAGTTTCTGGAGAGACAGTGGTATTTCAAGGGGGAGGCCTTGGCAAAACACCTGATGGGTAAGTATGCTAAATCTAAATCTATTGATAACCTAGGGGAGAGCAGGAATGTTCTTTGTTGATGGATAAATAAAAATGGTATGGAAGAAAACCTCCTTGGGTTTTCTTCGCAACAGACTCTGAGATAAGAGATTTGTATGCTGGAAGTGTATTGGAGAATACCCTTACTATTGTGTTTGGAAGCAGTGAGCAAGTAGACAGCTGGCTGAAGAGGAAGAGTTGAAGTTATAACTTCACTGGACACTGGACACTGGATTCTTGAGCTTCAAGCTAGGATCACATGGCCCTTCAGAGCTGTCCTGCTTTGAGCCACAGAGCCTGGCCCTTTAGTATCACTTCCTAGGCCCTTAATGCCTTCTCAGTGATTAATCATTTGTGATAGGCTGCTTTGTGGGAGGCCATGACTTCAAAGACTTAGGTTTAGTTCTCAGAGACCTACACTAAATTCAGAACTATCTGCTCCCAGTTAGCTGTGTCCTGAGTAGAGACCTCGCAAGCAGCGTAGTACTACATTCGTCTATTTTTTTTTTTTTTTTCTGGGAAAACTTCTTGTCTTAGATTAATGTTCCAGTATTTCAAATCAATTTTGGTTCTGTACCTCTTTTATTATTTCAGTGTGGTTATATTGTTATTTTTCCTTTATGCGTTGTCAGTAAACTATGCCCTATGCCACTTGCTCTGTCTGCATTTGGACATTTGGAACAAGAGAGCACTGCAGGTGGTTTATCTGTCCTGTGCTGTTTTATGGGTCACGGTTTTCACATTGGAAGTTCTTTTTATTTGCTTGTTTTTCTAGATTCTTTCTGAGCTTCTCTCTCTTTGTTTTTTCTTCCTCTTGGTTTTTGTTTGTTTTTTTCCAGGGGATGAGGTCTCATTATATTGTCTTTGTTGTCCCTGAACTAGTTGGCTCAATTGAATCCTCTGGTATGATTACAGAGGTATAAATCACTGTAAGGTGGCTTCTTTTATGAATTAAAATTTGCTAATTTTTCACAGTGATACTCAACCAAATATAATTTACCTAGAAGAAATTTAACACAGAGAGATTTTCAAATGACTCATGCTTATGAGAGATGTGTGCAACATGATGAGTTATTTCATTGTCTTCAGAGGTTCAGAGAGTTTTACCTCTATGGGGAAATGCAGGCACATTTTAGGTATTGTGTTTATTATTACCAAATGCTTCCTAGAAAGTGACTTAGGATGGCGGTTTTGTTCTGGTTCACAGGAGGGAGCTGTAGGGTCCGTCAGGGAGGGAAGGGATGGTGGTAGCTACATGGCTGCAGCAGTGTTTAGTTGGGGTTCTGCCTTCTCACTTCTCAGCAGGATAGAAAGGGTTGAACAGGGATTGGAACTAGACTATAACATCTCAGAGGTTACCCTCTGTAGTCTCCTTCCTCTACGTAACAGTGATCCACCTTGTAAAGATCCTACAACCTTCCAAAACAGCACTGCAAGCTGGGAACCAAATACTCAAACATTTGAGCTTATGGGAGGTATTTCATAGTCAAATTGCAACAGGTATTTACCAGCAGAAAGACTTAGGAGTTACTGGTAATTGAGGTATATGACTTTTTATATTCTTCTCAACCTAGTTTTCATTCTCCCCAGTGATGGTTATAGTATTAACAGCTGAGGGAAATACAATTTAAAAGAGCCGCTGTAATATTGATGGTGAAATTCACATCAAGATAGCTAGAAAAATATTTTACGATGTATTTCTCTCTCTTTTTGTTTGTTTCTAAGCCAGGGCCTTTCTACTTACAAGGAGCTTTGCTCTCTGGCAAGTGATCTTAGTCAGCCAGATCTGGTATATAAATTTATGAATCTGGCAAATCATCATGCAATGTGGAACTCCAGGAAGGTAAGTTGCTATTTTGTTTCTTTTCTTTCTTAAATTTTTTCCGGAGAACAAAGTTAGGGCCTTAGGCATACGTGGCAAGTGCTTTAGTACTAAACTATATACCACCAGCTCTCACTGAGTTTTTATTTTTTACTTTCTCCAAAACCAGGCTTGGTACATTAGCCATGTAGTGCCAGTTGATATATAGTTGACTTTGAAGTCTCTGTTTAAGAGCCAGATTACCACATTAGCCATAATTATTGCTAAAGTTGGAATACTAAGTAATATTCTATTCAGAGACAAAATTGAGAAAGAGTCTTTTGTAGCCTTTTTGTATTTAATGTGCTAACATTTTTTATGGCAGGGCAATCATGTATAAGTTACTTTTTATTATTTTTTTTAGGGTGCTGCTTTTGGTTTTAATGTAATTGCTACCAGAGCTGGAGAACAACTGGCTCCTTTTTTGCCTCAGCTAGTTCCTCGACTTTATCGTTACCAGTTTGACCCCAACCTTGGAATTCGACAGGCTATGACAAGTATTTGGAATGCATTGGTCACTGATAAATCAACGGCAAGTACCTGTGTGTTAGGAAAACACTGTAGCTTTCCTGTGGTACCACACAGGACTTAAACCAACCCCTCCCCACCTTGGTATATTTACTTGCTTTCATTGCTTGTTTGCTTTTTTCTTTCAGTGATGCTGATGTTACAGGTCTCAAAAATGAAAGCAGTCTGAATGTTCCCTGGGTGGATATGTAGTTAAAAGAATGACAGTATATTCACATGAATGGAATATTACTTGTTAACAGGGATCATTGATGCCATCATTCACAAATCTATGCTTAAAGACTTGTTTTAGTTGGAAAAGATAAACAAAAGAAGTAGTCAATTGCCATATGTTATTTTTCTTCTTGGTTCTATCATCTGGCTGTTGATTACATTCAATCCTCCTTTCAAATATGGAGGTTTCTCAGGAACTGCCTCTGAATACAATTGTCGTCGTAGCTTTCTTTTTACTGATATTTAGGCATGTAAACATTCTGTTTATTGTAATGGTTCTCAGTTGTGTAACGGCCCAGTAGGACATGTACTCCATCCATACTTACAGATCTAATTGCCTGCGTGATGTCTTCACCTGACGTTATTTACATATACCATAAATGTAACTGTCCAGTAAAGAGCTAAAAACAAAAGTAAAAAGATAACCTTTCCTTCTTTGTTCTCACTATTGTTTGTCCAAGCTAGGAAACTTGGTGTCATCTTTTTTGTCTGTGTCTTTTAATGCCCTCAATCCCACATTGAATTTAGCAGCAGTTTCTGTTGATTTTGCTTTTATCAAGATTTCCTTGAATATACTTCTATCCCTGGTTATTCCTGATGAGTAGATCATCTCATGTATTTTTTCTCTTTGCCCTGTGTTTAATTAGCTACATAGCAGCAAAAGTGATTTTTTAAAATTGCTATTTGGATTTTGGTTGAAATTCTTTTTTTTTTTTTTTTTTTGGTTGAAATTCTTAAGTGGATTTTTAATTCACATTTTACCCCCAATACTAGAGTTTGAACCCAGGCTCTTAAACATGCTAGGAAAGTGCTCTACCAATGATAATATTTTTCTTTAAAAATACTTATTTTGATCCAAGGTCTTGATCTGTTTCAGGCTGGATCCTGAACTGTTGGGCTTGCCTCGGCCTCCTGCATAGCTTAGGTTACAGGGTCACAACGACTTTCAGCTTGCAGTTTACTGTTACAACTGAGTCTGTTTCAGTTTGTTGGCACTAAAGCTTCTATCAAGCTTCCTTACCTTCTGAACCACTATCGTATTTATTTTTGCACTAAACACTGTAAGGTACAGAGAAGAGTGAGACACCGTCTTGCCACTGAGGTCTCCAGTGTAATAGCGCAATAATGAATCTGGTATGATTTGCGTTAAGAAGGTGCTGTGGGAACATGGAAGAGAGTCAGGAGGCCAAAGTTCTCTGAGAAGTTACTCAAGGAAGCTTTATAGTTGGACTTTTATTATTTTGTGGGTTCTTCTTTTGTCCACTCTGGTTTTACCTCCTATCACTAGATATGAGAGAAGGAAGCATGGGGGAGGGGGAGCTGAATCTAATTTCTTTCCTTTTGTTTCTTTTCTGAGCATGACTACTAACAAGCCACAACCAACCTCCCTGAAGGACCAGCAGCCACCAATCCCCACCTATCAGGGCTCTAGCATTTGTATGCTCTCTGAGAAGTTCCCAGAATTCCTGTCATCCCACAATTGCAGAAACTGTCTGGAGCTGACAAAACCCTGCCTCTACTAGAGCACGAGGCCAATTGTTGTCAGCTGCTGCAGGCCGTCCAAAGCAGCCCCGCACCACCACATCTGGGATTAAAACAAGAGCACATTTTTGTAACATTTCTGGTCTGGTTTTTTTGGGGTTTTTTTTGTTTGTTTGTTTTTGTTTTTGTTTTTTTTTAAGAAGCCAAATTCCAGAATTGTCAATACAAATTTGGACAAGGAAGAGGATTGTAGAGGCAGTGTATGTATGCTGAGGAACAGAGCTGAGACTCAACAGAATCTCTAGGTAGAAAGATGAGTCATAGCGGGCTTTGTCCATGTAAAGCTAGTGATCAGATTTCATTCTCTTCATGAAAAAAGAAGCATCTGTCTTTACATGTTAGAGCCATTACACAGTGATGTGAGATTTGTAGGCTGAGGGGCTTAAGGACACTTCAGCAAAGAAAAATGATCAATGTTGTTAGGAGGTAAATAATTTGATTTTTTGATTTTTACATTTCTCATTTTATCTTTTTGCTTTCATTAGGTGGATAAGTATTTGAAGGAAATTCTTCAAGATTTGATTAAAAACCTTACCAGCAACATGTGGCGAGTTCGAGAATCGAGGTACGACTTGGAAAAGTTAGATTAGACAGATAGAGCTGTAAAATTCCCTTTCAAATGTCAAAGGTGTTTGTTTGTTTTTTTTTTTTAACAATTAAGTTAAACCCACCAATAAGCATCATATTTTTAGTTGAGTTAGTTCTTTAACCATTTAAACTACTCAGTTTGCCTAATTTGGTTTATATAAGTATGAAATTAACAAATCTGTGGCTCATGTGTTAAATTGGTAGACATCAGGCTGTACAATTTCATGGCTTCAAAGTGTAGAATTTATGTACGTATGCAGTTGGAACACATAGAGTGCATGTCATGTGCTTGGCGATACGCCAGACAAGGAGAGCACCGTAGGTAAGTTAAAAGTGATGTGTTGGTAGCATTCACAGGGATTGAACTGTAGTTGGAGGAATTGTCACTTCGTGATTTGTATCATATGTGATATATTTGAGCTAATCCTAGAATAAGTATGATTGTCTTAGGGTGAGAGGTTAGGACTAGAAATACAGATGGAGTCTATATTATTTTTGAATATGACTATAGTAAAGTATTGGACTTGATTAAACATATATTTGAAGTCAAATTTTTATTTTCAGCTGTTTAGCTTTGAATGACTTATTGAGAGGAAGACCTTTAGATGACATCATTGACAACCTTCCAGAAATGTGGGAAACACTTTTTAGAGTACAAGATGATATTAAGGTATTATAGAAATAAATCTAAATTTATATATAGACTAATTTAAACTGGAATTATTAAAATATGCTACAGATTTTTAAATGTATGTATTTCTAATTTTTCTATATAAACAATTTTAGGAAACTAGTTTTATTTGTATATTTCAACTTTGATATATAGGAAAAGTTAAAAGTTTGATATCTTTAGGTCTAAACTGAACTGACTCTCTGAGAAGAAAGGGAGGGGACCATAGTAGGAAGGAGGGGATGTGAGAGGAAGGACTGGGAGATGAGGAGGAAGGGGAACTTCCTTTTGGCATATAAAGTAAATAAATGAATTAATCTACAAAAAGATCCAACTAAAGTTGGATATAAACTAAAGGATCTAAAGCTGGACTTACCTACGTTTTAAACTGTTTTGGCATCCTTAAAATTAGATCACTAGGCTTGTCTTTCTCGTTGCTTTATTTTTAATTAAATTTTTATTAATTAGAATTTATTCACTTTGTATCTCAGCTGTAGCCCCCTCCCTCATGCCCTTCCAATCCTACCCTTCCTCCTTCTTCTCCTCCCATTCCCCCTCCCCAAGTCCATTGGTAGGGGAAGTCCTACTGCCCCTCTGACCCTAGCCTATCAGGTCTCATCAGGACTGGCTACATTGTCTTCCTCTGTGGCCTGGTGAGGCTGCTCCCCGCTCAGAGGGAGGTGATAAAAAAGCCAGCCACTGAGTTCATGTCAGAGACAGATCCTGTTCCCCTTACTAGGAAACCCACTTGGATACTGAGCTGTAGGGGTTCTGGGTTGTCTCCATGAATGGTCCTTGCTTAGAGTATCAGTCTCAGAAAAGACTTCTGTGCCCAGTTCTGTTGCTCTCCTTGTGGAGCTCCTGTCCCCTCCAGTTCTTTTATCTCCCTGTTCTTTCGTAAGATTCCCTGCACTCTGCCCAAAGTTTGGCTATGAGTCTCAGCATCTGCTTCAATTCCCTGCTGGGTAGAGTCTTTCAGAGGCCCTCTGTGGTAGGCTCCTGTTCTATTCTGTTTCCTCCTCCTTCTTCCAATGTCCATTCCGTTTCCCTTTCTGGGTGAGGATTGATCATATTATCCAGGGTCCCCCTTCTTGCTTAGCTTCTTTAGGTGTACAGATTTTAGTATGTTTATCCTATATTATATGTCTAATATCCACTTATAAGTGAGTATATACCCTGTGTGTCTTTCTGCTTCTGGGTTACCTCACTCAGGATGATCTTTTCTAGTTCCCACCATTTGCCTGCAAATTTCATGATTTCCTTGTTTTTAAATGCTGAGGCAGAGAAACACTTAAAAACATGTTCAACATCCTTAGTCATTACGGAAATGCAAATCAAAATGACCCTGAGATTTCACCTTAAACCGTTCAGAATAGCTAAGATCAAAAACTCAAGTGACAACACATGCTAGAGAGGATGTGGAGAAAGGGGAACCCTCCTCCACTGCTGGTGGGAATGTAAACTTCTACAGCCACTTTGGAAATCAATCTGGCACTTTTCTCAGACAATTAGGAATGGTGCCACCTCAAGATCCAGCTATACCTTTCCTCAGCGTATATCCAAATATGCTCAATTATACAACAAGGATATTTGCTCAACCATGTTTGTAGCAGCTTTTGTTCATACTAGCCAGAATCTGGATACAACCCAGATATCCCTCAACTGAGAAATGGATACAGAAATTGTGGTACATTTACACAATGGAATACAACTCAGCAATTAAAAACAAAGATATCTTATTCATTAGAAAAATTTAATTCTTTTAGAATCTGCACAGAGATTCTTATATATTTATAAAACATTGAATTTTTGGGCTGTTGGAAGTTTGTGGATATATTTTTATATGGTTAAAAATACATCAGATATAGATGTTCCTTAGTGGGCAAAGAGCCTAATGGAGCAACATATATTTAAATCTGTTATTGAAAACTATGGTTTACTGTTTTGTGTCAGGATCTAAGGCAGTTAATTAGACAAAGACTTGAGAAGAATGAATGCTATCTAGTATGTATAATGCCAGACTCTTCTTACTTTTAGGAGTCTGTGCGGAAAGCAGCAGAACTCGCTCTGAGAACTCTGAGCAAGGTGAGAATGCTCACCTCACGGTGAGAGTTGGGAAGGCCTCACTGTGGACTGAACAGTGGGGGTTTTGTTGGTTTTTGGTTTTTGGCCATATGAGATAATGTTGCCTTGTAAATGGCTTCTTGTGTATTTACTGCTCTTAACAGTGGATAAGAAAGTGGGTCCCGTGACACTATGCTTAGTGTATCTTGAACAACATATGCTTTTGGTTTCCTTAAATAATGAGCTTTTGCAGGCCTCTACATGAGGTGTATGCCTTTCCTTTGACCCTGAAGAAGATATTACTTACTTAAATGCAACCATATATGTCTTTCTTTTAATATCATTTCCAAATTTATGACCTTGGCAAGCTTTTTGAAACTAAATAGTCTGCCACTTGGACTTGATTTTATAATTTACATTCTGATTGCGTAAGCCTTGTCATCAAACATATTAATGAGTAGTAAAGGTATGTTTTAAGAGGCAGGTGGATTGCTGTGAGTTTTAGGCCAGCCTGGTCTACAAAGCGAGTCCAGGATAGCCAAGGCTACACAGAGAAACCTGTTTCGGAAAACAAAGTTCCAAGATTAAGGCTGAAGAGATGACTCAGTAGTTAAGAGCAAGCACTGGTTACTCTTCCAAAAGTCCAATTCCCAGCAACCATACCATGGCTCACAACCATGTGTAATGGAATCTGATTCCGTCTTCTGGTGTGCATGTTTTAAATTCTGGTGCCTCTCATATCTAGGTTTGTGTTCTTCACCAGAATATTTTCCTGCCACCTGTTCTGCTGAGGATGATTTTATACAAAGCACTTTACAATGTGCTTTTTCATCACGCCGTCAGCGTCTTTGTTTCTCACAAATCAGAAAGTAAAAAATTAGAGAATAAAATGTTACCAGATTTGTTTAGATATGGCAGACCTCTATAGAAATGACTCAGTACAGGTCATTTCTCTAGCTCTTCCAACCCCCATAGTGGCATAGAAAGTGGACTCACTCATTTTTTATTCCTGATAGTGACATAAAAAAAAACACTTTGTCAGAGAAATGCTTTAGTAGTTGAGAGGCCAGCCTCACTAACGCCCCTGCTCTTTGTATGTGAGGTTTGTGTGAAAATGTGTGACCCTGCCAAAGGAGCAGCTGGCCAGAGAACCATTGCTGTCCTCCTGCCCTGCCTTCTGGACAAAGGAATGATGAGTCCTGTGACGGAAGTCCGAGCCCTCAGGTGTGGTTTGGTTGAAGTGAATGTACTGGGATTATTTAGTTCCTAGCCAGTCTGTAGAAAATATGTTTTCTTGAATGTCAGCTTCCTAAAACTACGAAAAATGGACTGAGGAAAATCCACTGAGGTAACTTAAGCATTTATGAAAAGATGTGAGTCATAGTCTTTTTATAGTCATGTTTAATGGGGACCTTGATTTCAGCTAACATTTTGGGCTCCATATTATTTTACTGTCATTGGCCCCTTTCCTTAGCAAGCACATTGATCTGTTATGCCACAGGTCTTGAGGAGCTTGCTTGTTGGTATAACCAGCTGTCCTCTAATCTATATTGTGATTATATTGTAAACTAATCTATATTGTGATTGTTAGTGCCTTCTGAATCTACTAGCTCAAAGGCAAATGTGAAACTTCAGGATGGTTCAGGCAGTCCAAACCTGAGCCCAGTTCTTATGCTAATAGGTTAAGATGACACCACAGGATGTTCCTCCTGATGTTGTGGGATAGGGTGCAGACAGCATTGCTTATGAAAGAGCCTTGTGTGTTTTGGAGGCAGAGTCTACCCATGTAGCTCATTCTAGCCCCATATTTGCTATATAGCAGCCCAAGCTGTCCTCAACTTAGTGGTCCTCCAGCCTCACACATCACAATGTTGGCGTTTATGGCATAAGCCATATTTTTAAAATAATTGAACCTTTACTTGGTTTAGCCTATATATATGTACAGGGGATATGTTAAATGCAGTCAAGTTAGAGAAAAAGAGAAAGGGTGGGACTGCTAAAAAGTTTCAAGAATCAAGCATTTGGGAGGTAGAAGCCATCAGATCTCTTGAGTTCAAGACTATCCTGGCCTACGTAACAGGTTCCAGGTCACCCAGTGCTGTACATAGTGAAACCCTGTCTCAAACAACAAAGAACTAACCAAACAAAAGAAAACAAATCAAAAACAGTTTTAAGATGGTAATGGATAGACTCTGAACTCTGAATTTGAATTCCTATAAACTATCATTTTTTTAAAGAGCCTCTGTACGTTTTATATGTATTTGCTTAAAAATATCTATAATTCTTTTAATGCCAAGAGATGAGAGACCCTGAATTCAGTCATAACCAGAAACCCCCCTCCCAGTTGCCAGGACTAGGCTTTGAGCAATATGAGTATATACCTGAATGCAACTAATGATTAGATTGTAGGGCTTCTTCTTTTTGGTAAAAGGACTCAGGTGATGTTTTCTGTGTGTCTAGCATTAACACCCTTGTGAAGATCAGCAAAAGTGCAGGAGCCATGTTGAAACCACATGCACCCAAACTCATCCCAGCATTACTAGAGTCTTTAAGTGTGCTGGAGCCTCAAGTTCTAAATTATTTGAGTCTCCGGGCTACAGAACAAGAAAAGGTGAGTTGATAGCAGGACATTGGTTAAGTATTGATGAGGTGTGGCCACTATTAAGATCCATCCAGTGTCCATAGACAAACTCATGACTGATAAGGCTTTCACTCTTAAACACTACATGGAGTGAGTTTTCTTTGTTTGTATTTTAGATTTTTTTTAAAGGGGGATGGCCTGTCCAGCTTGTATATACTTTTGTTGATCAAATAAAAATCAACAACTTATTTAGATAATTTTTAATTTTTTTATTTAATTTTATTACCGTGAAGGTGTCAGATCCCTTGGGATTGGGGTTACAGACAGTTCTGAACTTCCATGTGGGTGCTGGGAATTGAACCTGCGTCCTTTGGAAGAGCAGACAGTGCTCTTCAACCACTGAGCCATCTCTCCAGCCCCTTATTAAAATTTTAACAGTCTAAAAATTACTTTTTTATTTTTAAGGGGCCTATACCTAACCATCTACAAAAATCTCTTAAGATTTATATACCTAGACTTTGGTCTAAAATTGCTCTGCTTTGTCTTTGAATTATTTTTAAATGTTGTCTATAACATACTTATTGAAGAGAAATTAAATCAGCCTGGAAGGGTAGAAAGTAATCCCCTAGAGGTCTCCACTACAAACAGTGTCTTGGGGCTTTAAGAAACTCCTTCCGAGTCATACACTACAAAGCCCCCAAATATTCAATTTAAAAACAAAACCAGATTTCGATTATTGTTCCTGTAACTGCTTTCTAAATTTAATGGGGCATAATGATTATATATGTTTCATTTCATTCTTTTAAGTTCATTTATACTAAAGTCAGATGACTACATTTTTGTAGGAAGGTTTTATAACATTAAAGGTTATAAGTCCCCCTTTTCTCTATATCTTTGATAACATTGAAAAATTGAATATAGTTGCATTGCATTGAATTGAATATAATTGAATAATTGAGTAACATTTCTTTTACATTGTCCATTATCTTTGTATACTCTTAGCACCAGCCCATTCATCTTCTTTCCATCCCCTGAAACCCAGACCTTGTGCTTGAAGCATTGTACCCACTGAGCTAATTCCAAACTAGAGATACCATAGCAGTTAGCTACTCTTGCCGAAGTCTTAGCATCCCACTAGGCATTTCATAGCTCCCTGTGACTCTGCCTTTGTGGGATGCACGATCAGTTGCACATACCTACGTTTACTTAAAAAAATCCAAAGACAAAACTGTTAATTCCTAAATCCTTTTAGCCATTTATATACTTCAGTGAATTGTTTCTGTTCTATGCCTGGTCTTTTCTTGATTTTTTTTTATTCATGTTTTTTATTCATAGGACTATTAGGCCTATATAATATATAACTTCAATGTTTTCTCTCATTTCACCATTTGATTATTAATTTTCATAATCTACTCTAATAAATTAATTGTTTTGTTTACCTCTTCATACTGTTGTTTCTTTACTACTCATTCTTTCCTCTTTCAGTAGTAGATTTACCACCATCTATAAATGCTTTACTTGTATTAGGGATTAAGAGACATAAATTATATATGCTTTGGAAGCCTCAGCAAATCACTTTTGCATGCCTTACTTTTCTCTCTCAGTAGTAATAACCTTTCTCCTAGGCTAATTTTGGTCAAAATGTCATTGTATATATATGAATCCACATTTTAAAGTTAAAGAATTAAATGGATTATACTCATACACACACATACACTGTTTTTTTTTTTTTCCTTAGACAACTTTTTAAACATTTTTGTAGAAATTCAGTGTATTTTCTTTTTAAATGGATTGAGAAACTGAGATTCAGGAAGGCTGATTGACTTGCTTAGAGCCATAGTGTGTTTGTTAGTAAATGAATCCTTACCTAATTTTTGTAGTATGAGAGATTGACCCCAGGGCCTTGTTCATGCTGAGCATATAGTATACTAGTGAGCTTCACCACCAGCCCTCATATTTTGTTTGTTTCTAACTGTTGTCTGAATTTCTGACCTTTAAGGAGATGTTAATTTTACAGTTAAATGGTCAAGTGAGGTCAGAAGAAACCAGAATTAGACTTTCATCTGATTTCATTATTTATTTAAAAGCCTTTCATTTGAACACAAGACCCTTTAGCTGGAGTTTGTGTGGCTAATTCATAACTGGCGACTTGTATTTTTGCTGCTCCTCAGGCTGCAATGGATAGTGCTCGACTCAGTGCCGCCAAGTCCTCTCCCATGATGGAGACCATCAGCATGGTGAGTTTCCAAGTACAGCTGAAAAGCTCCTTTGTTCTCCTTAAGTGCAGTTATCCAAAACTTTCCTGCTTGTGTGACATGAGACAACCTGAAGGGGGGAGGATTGGGAAAGTTCTATGAAGCAACAATTGCAATGGTGTTGTTCAAATTTTTTAAGTTTTTAACTGACATAAAAATTGTACATATTTATAAGCATTTTTCTTAATTACTAATAGAAGTAAATTTTCTGAATAGAAGAATTAGTCCAAATTTGTGTTACATGGGAAACAACGTATTAATAGATCTATCTATAATGTAATATCTCTATCTTTGATCTACTTATTTTAAAAGGGTTCAGAGATGTGTTATGTCTTTTATTATTATTATTATTATTATTATTATTATTATTATTATTACTTTTTGCCTGATTCTGCTTGAGAAATTTCTTTAGAAAAGGCCCCGAAGGTGTGTATTTTAATGAAATAAGCAGCACAGAAGGTAGGTGATGAATAATACTGATGTGCTTTAGCTGTCAGAAACATAGGTAGTGAAGAGCGTGTGGTGGTTTGTGGTTTGGCAGAGTCACCTTTTGGGCATTTCCTGTAGTGATTATTAAGAATTTGCAAGCTACCAAAAATTGTTTGCTAAGGAGATCACAATCGGGCCAATGGTTAGGTTTTAGTGTCTACTGGGGACTGCCACCAATATTCAGTTTAAGAATCTTAGGTCTGAGTTGTATTATTGGGGCAAGTGATAGGAGTATTTAGCAAACATTGGAGTATTTATAAATAAAGTGTGTGCTTGTGTTTTAAAAAGTATTACAAGCTATGGTGAAGTCACCTAAGAAACTAACTCACTTGGGATCTAGTAGGCTAGACCTACTCTGGAAGGTCAATTTTAATCTAGGCATTTTACATTAGATAAAGTTTGATAGAGGAAGATTAAGAGAGAGGGATAATCGTTTATTTCCTCTGTTAGTAAATCTTTTTCCTTATTTTGTTTTATTCTGTTTAATGTTGAACCATTAGCGAGTGAATTTATGTTTGTAGAACTGTGGTAGTTTAATTCAACCAGAGCAAAATCAAACCAGGGACATTTCAACTTCTGTTAAATCTAGTGGGTACATATTCAACATAGGTAGTTTTAAAATGAAGATATGGTACTGACCTATTTTCTCAGGCTTATCTTTATATTTATTCTTTCTCAAAGTGCCTGCAATATCTTGATGTTTCGGTGCTGGGTGAGCTAGTTCCTAGGTTATGTGAACTGATCAGAAGTGGTGTGGGTCTTGGAACTAAGGTAAGAATTTGCATGTGTTTGTTTGTGTGTTTGTGAGTGTGTGTTTAAAGACAAGTTGTCATGCAGCCAAAGCTGGCCTTCAACTCACTATAGAGCATAGACCGGCCCCAAACTCAGGGTAGTCATCCTGTCTCAGCCTCCTACTATCGGGAGACATATTGTAGGCATGTGCTACCACACCCAATAATGTGTGTGTGTGTGTGTCTGTGTGTGTTTATGTATGTACGTACATGTGGAGGTCAGAGGAATCTTTATTTTATTTTTACTTTTTGCATGCCTTCCACTATTGCTTTCCACATTATCTTTTGAGACAGTCTCCCTGAAGCAGGGCTCACTGATTGCCTAGTCTGGTTTCGTCAAGCGCTAGGAATCTAGCTGTCCCTGCCCCACAGTGCCTTAGGTTTACAGATTGTGAGCCCAGATTTTTATGTGGATGCTGATGTGATCCCAGGTCCTCATAGAAGTGGATTTTTATAAGAGGAAGTATGTACTTTTGGTAATTTTTTTAAATAAAAAAATGAGTGTCGTGTTTAAAAGTTTTAATGTTTCTGTAAAACATAATGCATGTAAAATATTTTTGTTTCTGTGGTTACATGAGTGATTTTTAATGTGTAACTGATTTAAAGTATTCATTTATTTATTACTTATTTCTTTGAGACAAGGTCTAGGATAGCCTACCTTTAGTCTCAGACTTCCTATACAGTTGAGGATGACATTGACCTTTGATCCTTATACCTGTATTTCCTAGTGCAGGGATTATAGGCATCATGTTTGTATGATGTCATGCCCATATGCTATCAAGCTCTGCTTGTCTTGCTGGGTTTAGTAGAATTGTTTCTGGTTACCATGTAAGTGCACTTGGATTTTCTGTTATTACCAGTTAGTGGAGAAGCTCAGTCACCTGTTAAGGAATGACAGTTTTGTGATTAGATGTTTTTATGTGAAAGTCAGTAGGTGCTTGGGTAGAAGAATATCTTTTTTTTTTTAATTTTATATTTTTTCTATATTTTTCCTATTTACAGTTTCTTAAGTTCTTCTAAAACAATTGTATAACCAATTGCTAATGTTTTCCTTTTTCTATATTGACTCCCAGAGGGGCTTTTAGACTTTATGTGTCTTAGCTTTAAATTCTTGGTGCCTAAAGAAAGTAGTTTGAAAGAACATTGTGACATCAAATTTTGACCTTTGTTTTTGTGACCTTAAAGGGAGGCTGTGCCAGTGTCATTGTGTCTTTAACTACTCAATGTCCCCAGGACCTAACACCTTACTCAGGTGAGTTTTTCATATCTTTGGGGGTACTTTTTCATGGCTATATTTATTTTAGACTTTTTGTTTTGTTTTGTTTGTTTGTTTGTTTTTGGTTTTTCAAGACAAGGTTTCTCTGTGTAGCCTTGGCTGTTTTGGAACTCTATAGACCAGGGTGGCCTCGAAATCACAGAGATCCACTTGCCTATGCCTCCCAAGTGCTAGGATTAAGGGCCCACACCACCTGGCTATTTCAAAGTTTTAAAAGAAAAATTATTTGGACATGTGTGTGTGCTTTGCCTTCACTCAAACCTCTGAATCAGTCATTTTGTTAGCAGACTTTTATTGCTTCACAAGTTTGTCAATGGCATAAGGATGTAAAGGTACCTTTCATTCTGCAGAGTTTTACTTTCCTTTTTTTTTTTTTACTGTTTATAGCTAACTTAACATGAGTTCTTTTTTTATATAGGCTCCTAAGTAGTGTTTTTATTTGTAGTTCTTATTTTTGTCCATTTTCACAATATTCTGGACAGAAGTTATTTTTTTATTTTTAAATCAAATGAGAGAAAGAAAGATAGTACAAACAATGTTAAAAGATCTAAAATACTGTGTCTTAAACCTGCTTATTTCAGGGTGATGGGATTTTAGTTCTGGGAATACAACGTAATGTTTGGGCAATGACACAATTGGGTGTTTTGTTATTTCTTAGGTAAACTTATGAGTGCTTTGCTTAGTGGTCTGACAGATCGGAACAGCGTAATTCAGAAATCCTGTGCATTCGCCATGGGCCATTTAGTTCGAGTGAGTTGAATTTTTTATTCAGTTAGTACAACTGTGGTAATTATAAGGAGATGACTAGGATTGTTTGTTTTTCAGACCTCTCGGGATAGCAGCACTGAAAAATTGCTACAGAAGCTCAGTGGCTGGTACATGGAGAAAGAAGGTAACTTTTTCTTTTTTATATAATTTTAAATTTATATAGTAACCAAATAAACTGTATGCTGTTTTGGTAGAAACATTTTAAATTGGTTTATTTAGAGCACTTACCCTGAAAAATAGTTAAATGCTAACCAAATTTTGGTTTCTTTTTCTCTTGAGAACCTGTCTATAAGACCTCTTGTGCTCTGACTATTCATGCAATTGGAAGATACAGCCCTGATGTATTGAAGAATCATGCCAAAGAAGTTCTGCCCTTGGCGTTTCTAGGCATGCATGAAATTGCTGATGAGGAGAAATCTGAAAAAGAAGAGTGTAATTTGTGGACTGAAGTGTGGCAGGAAAATGTACCTGGTTAGTAAATGTGTTTTCAAAGAACATAGCTGGAACTTGACTCATGTTGTTATTCATAACTCTCTCAGGGACTTGAACAACCTGTGTCACATTTAGAGCACATTTCTAAGTTTACAAAGTGCCACTCAGAACTTATTATCTGTGTGAGAGAATATAAACTGTGTCTAAGCAAAGTAGAACTTTACTTAGATTAGTTGAATGTAGTTGTGATTTTATGTGGCCTTAGAGTATTATTGTAGAGCTGTGTTTTTAACCTGGCGGTATGTCCAAGTTCATGAATTCCTGTTACAAAAAGAAGCCAAACTTATTGTCTTATTGTCTGTCCCATTAGCAGGTGGTGTGTTCTGTCAATTAACAGTCATTGCTTTAGATGAATGGCGTTTGCTGACTCACATTTTAAAATGATCTTTTATTTTTCTTGTCACTTAAGAGGTGTTTTACCTTTTCTTTCTTTTTGAATGTAGGCTCCTTTGGAGGTATTCGATTGTACCTACAGGAGTTGATTACTATTACCCAAAAGGCTTTGCAATCACAGTCTTGGAAAATGAAAGCCCAGGGTGCAGTTGCTATGGCGTCAATTGCAAAACAAACGAGCTCTCTTGTGCCTCCTTATCTGGGAATGATACTGAGCGCATTGGTGCAAGGCCTGGCTGGAAGAACATGGGCAGGAAAGGTAAAACTCACGCTAAAGAATTGGGGCTGCATCTGACTGTAGAATAGCAATCGAATTTATTTGACTTTGGACTATTCTTGCAGCTAGGATTCCTAGCTAGTAGAGGTCTTTGCCTGATTATGACCTTTTACATCAAATTATGTGTCATGTTCTTGAATAAAGCATAGTAATACTGGAGCTTGGTATATTTTACATATTCAGCTTTACAAGTTACCTTTTAAACCAGGTCACCATTCCATGTGCACTGACCTTCAGTAGAGCCAGAATTGTACATATGTGAAGCTGAATACAATAAACTGCTAGTCCTGATATCAAATATGCCCATTTCTGGGGCTTGACAGTTGGAAACTTTTTACACAGGGCTATAGAAAAATATGTATAGTGAGCATTCCATGGGGAATATGAGATTGGGGCAATATGTACTCGTAACGGTCACTAGTGACCACCACAGTTTTGTGTGGACATAATACTGAATTGCCTGTGATGTTGGTTACCAGTTCTTGGGCCTTTATAAATTCGAGGCTCATGGTTTGGGTGAATCTCAGTAATGTGCATGAGTGCATTGAAGGGAAGACAAATGTTAGATGTGTCATGGTTATAAAATTCTCATAGGGTGATTATAATCATTGTGTAGAGAATGTGACATGGGGATTTAATAGCATTTCTTCATCTTTAACTTATCAGGAAGAATTACTGAAAGCCATTGCCTGTGTGGTGACAGCTTGCAGGTAAATGTTCTTTGAATGAGCATACCATTTTTTTTTTTTAAATGAAGCTTAAAGCTGTAGCTTTTCTTAACTATTCTGATGTTTTTGTGTGAATCCTATAGTTCAGAGTTGGAAAAGTCTGTACCCAATCAACCCACTATAAATGAAATTCTTCAGGCTGTAATGAAGGAATGTTGCAAAGAGAATCTCAAATATAAGATTGTAGCAATCAGCTGTGCAGCTGATGTTTTGAAAGCCACCAAAGAAGACAGATTCCAGGAGTTTTCCGACATTGTAATACCCCTCATCAAGAAGGTAATGGCTGCATAGGTTTTCTTCTGTCCTGGCTGTGTGATTTCAGTAGGACAAGTTTAGCTGTAAAGTAGCAGAAAAATCCCAAAAGATTGTGGCCTCAAATAAGAGCTTGTCTCTTACTTGATAGTTGAAAGCCTCATAAAGTCTTCAGGGATCTATTTCTTATACATTATCCTAATAGTCTATGGGTCCCAGGCAGATGACAGAGAAGATGAAGTTAGGGTCATAGCGAGCACATAATTTCTCTCAAGAAAAGTTCTGGAAACAGAAACAGCATAGTAATACCGTTGATTCGTGTTCCACTGGCCATCACTTAATCATAGCCCAATTGTTAGCAGATGGGGCTAGGAAAGGTAATTTTTCATGTGGACATCCTTTTTCCGTCAGTGGGAGAAGGAAGAGAGTACCTGTGCAGTAAACTTCTGCCATAATAAACTTTACCTGGCTAGTGTGTGCACATGCCAAGTAGTCATTTCCTATGAAGACAAGGAATACTGTCTGTTGTATAGTTCACGTCTGCATTGTCCTAGGGAAATTTTTGCTTGGAAAAAAAAATGACTGACTTAATTTGGAAACCAGTGTACTCATTTTTTAATAAAGTGGGCATCACAAGGAAAGAAGGATATTGTTGGTCCATTTGGTTGGGTTTTGTTGTTTTGTTTGTTTTGTTTCCTGAGACGGGCTCTTTTTATTATGTAGTGCTACCTGTCGGGAACTCACCACATAGCTCAGTGTCCGCCTGCCTCTGTCTCCTAAGTGCTGGCATTAAAGGCGTGTGGCACTCTGCCTAGCCTGACCTACTTATTTTTAAAGCATGACATATTTTAAATATCTTGTGTTGTTCCTACTTCATATAATTGTTTTCTTTCAGTAATAAGGCTGTCGTAGGTATTTCTGTGGGTTTTGGAGACTTCTGGACTCTTTTCCAGTTTTTCAATAGTTTGTGTTTGAAACATTGCCAAGTTTTTTCTGTCTTTAATTCTCTTGATCCAAATACAGTTCTTCTTAAGTTATATTCAGAATACTATTACATACTTTATTTTTCAACTTTCATCTACAAATTTCTCAAATTTATTAGAAATGTATAATTTTAATACAAACAGAATAATTCCCGGAAGAGAACTCGGCATTTAGTTCTTGGTCATATCTCCTGTTCTACAGTCTGTTTAATAGTATAACTAATTTTTGAAGAAAGGAATACTAGAAATTTGTTTCATTTTCTTTGATATATCCTAGAACTCACCTGAAAGCATGGGAGTCCGGACCAGCAAAGCTGAAGATGAAAATGAGAAGGAAAGAGAGCTGCAAGTGGAGTCTCTGCTGGGTGCCTTTGAGAGCCTGGGCAAAGCATGGCCCAGGAACCCAGAAACCCAACGTAAGCACTGGAACACACATTTGTAGAAGTGCTGAAACCAGAAGTCACTTAGCAAGAACACAGATTTTCTGTGTGACAAAGCAATTCCTTATGTAGTCTGAATATTAATAGTGAGAATTATTCTAAATCCAGTATTTTATTAGGGATACTATACTGGGAGCTAGAGAGTTAGCTTAACATTTAAGCACATTCACTTGCTGCTCTTCCAGAGGACCTGATGTGTTTGCTTCCCAGCTGTTACTTCACTGTAACTCCTGTCCCAGGGCACCCAAGGGCACCAAGCACCCATGTGGTACATAGATACACATGCAGATAAAACACTCGACACAAAATAAACAGGATAAAAATAAAATAAATCTTTAAAACAAAACAGTCTGGATAGCTTAACCAAAAGAATTTCTTGCTTGATAGCTAGAGAAGGTTAAAGTAGGGAATTCCTTAAGAAAGAGAGCATCACATGCAAAAGAGTTTAACACAAGATAAAGAAATGTACATTTATTTACCAGTTACTGAGTAAAAAACCAAGTTGTTTTCACTGACTTCTCACATCTCACATCATCAGCTGGAATTTCTGGTTTTTCTCTGTTAAATAGAGAAACAAACCACAAAATAGTACAAAGTTCTCTAAGTGTAGAATTTTTACCCCATCCTCTCATGTTTTTTATTTAAACCGTACTAATTTTATAGTAGGTATCCAACTTACATGTGGTCCAACTGACCACATGTAGCTATGAATGTGGCCTGACATGTTGAAGGTGATGTCGCATTGCAATGTCAGAAGCTGGGAAAGCCCTGTTCTAAGCATTGAAAACCAACTTGTTTGTTTTTATTTTTCTGAGTTTATACTCCTATCTTATTAGTATATTTCTAATTGTATAATGATGGAGACATAATGATGGAGACTTGTGATTGGGACTAACTTATGATAAAAGACTGTTGATAAACCCACAGTTGGCAGAGGACACCAGAGGGTGCTACACTTTTTGGGGAAATTTTCAAGGGAAGGGGAGTATAGCTAAGCTGCTGTGTTTATTCTGTGGAGGACAAGATAACTCAAGAGTAAAGGATTAGAACGTGTGTGTGTGTGTGTGTGTGTGTGTGTGTGTGTGTGTGTGTGTGTG